GTCAACATGTTGTCACTGACTTATGGCGACCCTATAAATCCAATATGTCCTGTTCTTGACGGACCTGCTCAGCTATTGTAAACACAAGACTTTGGTTCACTTTATGGAATTGATCTCATAGCAGGTCTACCTCTTCATCCTCTTCTGCCTTTGACTTTCCCTAGCATGATTGTCTTTTCCAGTGAATCTTGACTTCTCATGATAGCAGCCTCAGTTTAGTAATTTTGCCTTCTAGGGCAAGTTCTGGCTTGATTTGATCTAGGACCCATTTGTTCATTTTAGAAGTCATTACATAATTATTTTATTTATTTATTTAAAATTATTTTTAGGTAGCCTATAAGGGTAGGACCCCTACCCTGTTCTTCAACATCTGTATGAAGCTGCTGGGAGAGGTCATCCAGAAGTTTGGGCTAAGATCTCAGCAATATGCTGATGATACTCAGCTCTACCTCTGCTTTACTTTAAATCCAGATGAGTAGTGTCCATCCTGGACCAGTGCCTGAGCTCAATAATGAACTGGATGAGGGCAAATAAACTGAAACTCAGCCTAGACCGATGGCAGAACTGTTGGTGGATAGTCTGTCGGATGAGTTAAATGGCCTATACCCTGCCCATGACGGAGCTGTGCTTCCCGTAAAAGACAGGCTTCACAGTTTGGGGGTGCTCCTAGATCCAAAACTCTAACTTGAGTCTCAAGTGGACTCGGTTGCCCGGAGCACCTTCTTTCAGCTGCAGGTAATTTATCAGCTATGGCCACAGCTTAGCAACAGTCAGGTAACATCCCAGTTGGACTATTGCATTGCTCACTTCATGGGACTGCCTTTGAAGATGGTTCAGACACTCAAACTGGTTTATTTAATTAATTTATTTAAACATTTATATGCCACCTATTTCACCATGGCTAACAACAGATAATTACAATACTTTATAAAACAATAAAACAATGGCATAAATTTATATAAAACTGGATAAAATTACATTAAAAACAATACAAGTGGAGGATTAGGTTGCGACTAATTAATATTAAAGTATCTTTTAAAGAGGTAGGTCTTTGCCTGGCACTGAAAATAATACATAAAGAAGGTGCCAGGTAAATCACCTTAGGGAGCGCATTCCAGATGTGGAGAGCAGCAGCAGAAAAGGCTCCCCTCCTAGCAGCCACCCCGCTTAACTCCCTAAGGGATGGCTCATGCAAAAAGGCCCCCAGGCCAGGTAGGCAGGTTCAAAATAAGACTGCACAACTTTTAACAAGAGCTAGTTCATGGGCCCATATTATACTCATTTTGGCTACCGGTGGAAGCGTTAGCCCAAATTAAGGAGCTTGTACTTCCATATAAAGTTCTAAACGGCTTGGGCCCTGGGTACCCAAAGGAGCGCCTTCTCCCAAATGTCCCTACCTGACTGCCAAGATCAAGTCGTAGGTCCTTCCCAGGGAGGTGAAGGGGGTGGCAGCTAGAAGAAGGGCCTTCTTGGTGCTTGTACCCCATTCCTGGAACAGGCTCCTCAGAGAGCTGTGCCTGGCACCATCATTATAAGGCAAAGATATATCTTTCCTCTGGCTATTTTAGTAGTTGATTTTAATGGTAATTTTGATTTTAACCTGACCCTATTCTTGGCTTATAGTTTAATTTTAATTTTAAATTGTTTATTTAAATTTTAATGCATTTCTTTTAATTTGTGGATTATGTTTCTATTTAATTTGGGGTTTTTTTGGTTAATATTCCATTATTACAGATTTTAAAATGTTGTGTTGTTTTAACTGCTTGTAAGCTGCTCATAGAGCCCAAGTATGAGCTATTGAAATAAGTAAGTAAGTAAGTAAGTAAGTAAGTAAGTAAGAGCTCTTCTCTTCTTTGCCACCAGCACTCTGAGGTTGGAAAGTGAACTTGGAAAAAGGGAGAAGGGGCTCTTTCAGGGACAGGGAAGGGGAGGGGACTGAAGTGGCCAGGATAAGAATCTTGCGGCCATGGGAGCCTCCTCCCTCCCTCTTCTGAGACGCTCCGGGTAGACAGCTGAAGAAGTTCATCTAGTGAAAAAAAGGAAAAGTGGAAAACAGGGAAAGGAAGATCAGCACTTCCACTCCTCTTGTTCTGTGTTGGATGTGCATAAGCCTCCGAGGTTTTACTGGTTGACCGGCATTCCGATAGAATTGCACTCAAGTAGTTAGAATATTGGACTGGGACTAGGGCAGTTCTTGGTTTTAGTCCCCACTCAGCCATAAAGCTCCCTGAGTGGTTTTGGTACCTCACAAGGTACTTGCAAGGATGAGTGATTATGTAAGCTTCCTTGCGTTCCTTGCTGGAAGAAAAGGTGGGTTATAGAAATAATGCATAAATAGAATAAAAAGTTAGAAAATCAGTGGTATAAATGCCCTGACATGAATGAAACATGAGTTTGGTTTCTTTTGCTTGCAAACATTGCTTGAAAAGAGTGAATGCAACTTCTCTGTAATTGGGTAACTTCCTTGCTGAGTAATGCAGCAAGGATGTTTGATTTCCAGCAGAACTGAAGGGTGTCTGGAGCATGGTGTTCTGGGGCTCTGAGTGAAGAGAACAGCTGGCAAACTGTATACCTCATCAGGCATTTCTTAGAAAGAACTTCTTGAATGCCTGCCGGCCTCTCTTTGTGTTACGCTATAACTCAGTTCCGAGGCATTGTGAGTCATGGATTGTAGTTGTGAGTGGTGACTCACCCGGAAAGCTGCGTGAGGAATACGCTGGCAGCCGCTTCAGTCTAGGTCCTCTGCATTCTGAAAATGTTCTGGATGCTTGCAAGACACAATGGTGCATTTGTTTGCATTCATGTCAGTTTCATTTGAGAAGTGCAGTGCTTTTGGTAGTTAGCTTGAAAAGGAGGCTGTTGCTGCCATTAGCTGCATGAAGGCTGGAGTGGAGCGGCTGGTGAGGATCAGGACCTTACCACAGGTGGATGCTGCGCACCTATGGAAGTAGTGAGATGTAATCCCCACCCCAGTTCACTTTGAAAAGCATGTGGGCCCTCTGTGGAATGGGAAAGGGTTGGAGTTGGGCTCTGGCCTGTCAGAATGAAGGCTGAAAAGCCGGTAGATTTTGTGCAGTCCTCTTTACTTAACTGGGGGCAGAGGGAGTATTCACAGACAGGTGCCTAAACTAACTCTAAGCTGCGAAGTCCCCGGCAGAAAAGGATGCATCTGATCATCACCAAGAGTATCATTTTCTGCTTAGGGTATGTTTGATGGGTGCTTTTTTATGAGCCCCCCCATTCCTTTTCTAATCTCACTTTGCAAAGGTAAGGGGTATTTGTTGGAAAAGGGGGAAACTGACCAAGAAGGATAGTAACAGTAGGGAAGTGGTGGCAAAACTCAGCTTTGCGTGAGACACCAAACTTAGAAGCCTATGGAATCACCTGAGATAAGAGAGCCACGGTGTGTACTGGTTTAGAGGACAGGACTGGGACTTAGGTGATCCGAGTTCTAGATCCTGCTCAGTCATGAAGCCAACTGGGCAGCTTTGGGCCAGTCACAGGCTCTCAGCCCATCCTGCCACACAGGGTTGTTGTTATGGGGATAAGATTGAGAGTAGGAGGAAGAGAATTATAAGTTGCTTTGAGTTTGTTTGTTGTAAGAGAAAAGCAGGATAATAATCATCAAATATAAATTAAAAAGTAAACCAATTGCCTTTAAAAGTATGTGTGCATGTGGCAGAGAGAGCTTTCAGTTGGAGCTCCCCCTCCGCCCCCAAATACACTCAAAACAGCAGCACCAGTTGCCAAATCGCTGAGGAAAGTGATCTTGCAGCCCATTTGTAGCAGGTAAATCATAGGATCAGTATAAATATTTTCTTCTGTGACAAGATGTCTCTAGGCTGTGTAGGGAAGAGGCTTTGGAAACTGACTCTATTCAAGTGAATTGTGAGAAGTCCCCATTGAATTCTGTGCAGTTAACTTGGTCCATCTAATGTAGCTGTGTAATAAGAGTGATTCCTTGAGTGAGTTTTGCAGTTTTGCAAGTCGAAGGAACTTGCTTTGGCATTACGCTGCATTGCCAAACAGTGGTCTGCCCCCTTCTCTGATGTGCCAGTTCATGTCTATATTTGGCATTTGATGTTGTTCCAAATCAAGAAGCTCATGACTTAGTAGATTCTTAGATTACTTTAACGATCAGCCAAGCCATATGCAGCAAGAGTTCATTCACTCAACATCTCTGTCCAGAGGTATTTATAAAAAATTGGTTGTTTGCAAGTCTCTTGATTTCCAGGCTGTAGGTTTTCAGATGTGTTGGATAACAGTGCCCATAATCCCCAGCTGGCTGTGGTCTCACATATCTAGAAGAAAGCAGATTGGACCAATGTAGCATTCCATGTATCTTTGTGTGCAACCGGGCCATGGCTCTTAACAGCCGATTCGTAACAGTGAACTGGACAATTTGATTTTTTGTGGCTATGATTATAGCAATTCTATAAATTCAGGTCTTTAGGAAGGTATTGGCAAAGCACTGCAATTATGGACAAAGGGATGCCGATTTATACGGTCCCTTTCTTCTATGGTCATCTGAAGAGAGATTGTGTTCACTGGTGGAAGAGAACAAAGGAACAGTGAAGAGGAGAATGAGAGATTATGAATGAATTAGATTTTTTGGAGCTTTAATATCAGGAGATCGATCTATGGTGGGCAACTGAAGGAGGTCTGGGATCACTTTCCCTCCACTTTCCCCCTGATGGATCACAGTACTAGTAGGAGGAGGAGGATTGCTGTTTTGCTACCAGCCATTTGCAGGAAACTGCTGCATGATTGCTACCAAGAACCAAATGTGCACATTCTGGTGCTTTGTAGTGACAATGAAATGCCATTTTGTTAATTACTTTAATTTGTTTAAAAAATACAGGAAGCCACATGTATGTGGTCTACCTCGTCTTACTGCCTTTCTGCTTTGCACATGCATTTTATTTGTAAGCATCTTTGAACAACCTGAGGAACTTGGGTGTAGGTCCAGGGAATAACCTTTGACCTGATCCGTCTTTCAGGGGAGGATGCCCCAGTAGAGAATGGCGTTGCAACAGGTGATGGCATATCTGTTGCTTGGCGTTCTGACCCAAGTGTGACTTGTGGCTACACGGTGCGGTGGTGTCCTGGACCTAAACTCTGTACTGCAGTTGACTGGGAAACATTTCCTTCAAATGTGACAAATGCTGTCATCAAATCTGGTAAGGAAAAAAACAAAACCTGTTTAAATTTTGGTTCAGCTGGGCAGCTGTGTTTGCAGATGTAAACCAGAATTGCAGAAGGGGCTGCTGTTGAGTGCAGGGCAGGTCCAAGAAATTGTGTTGCCTGAAGCAAAGGACAAGAGGATGTGTCTGTCTTCTAGTGGACTAGATGATTTTAGCTTTTCAGGCACAGAACAACCCCTGTGGCAGACACAGCTCTGCTTTCAGTCTCCTGCTACCTGGTTCATGGCAATATTTATCTAGGGTATCAAGTCCCGCCTTTAAACGATGGAAATCCTTAATAGACCATTTTTTCTACAACTTCTGCTCTAATAGGTAGAGAAAATATATTTCTGCATATCTCGTTCTATAATCTAATGTGTTGCTTTTATCACTACTTTTAGTGAAAATGCCCATTTACATGTTGGCCTCATAATAACTGAAAAGTGATACTTTAATTATGTTTCTGTCCCACAGTTCTCTTTCAGCCAGGAGTACGATACAGATTTTCTGTCTATGGCTGCAAAGAAAAGGGATATCAACTATTGAAATATGTAGATGGCTACATACAAGAATTGAGTAAGCATGTTTTCTTTGTTATTTTTCTAACTGTCCAAGGCTCAGCTACTTCATATTTCTTTTTTCATTAAACAAAATCTATCCTCTTTTCTCCACACAGGTCCAAGAGTTCCACCAGTTTTTAATGTAGAGACTGCCACCTCAGATTCTATCTTGATAAAATGGAAGGACATACCTGTTGAAGATCTCCGTGGCTTTTTAAAAGGCTATCTGCTTCACTATGGCAAAGGAGAAGAAGGCAACACAAAGCTAAAGGATTTTGAATCAAGTAAACAAAACTATTTGACCCCCTCTCATCACCTGCAAAAAGCAAACCCTTAATAAGCCGTATTTCAAGCAAAGTAGCTGTTTTGTGACGTTTGCAGGCCATGAAGATATTTGCTTATCCAAATCAGGATACAAGCCTTTGGGAGTCTAGACAGATAAAGTCCTCTGACTCCCAGCATCGTACTGGAGTTGCAGGACTTTCTGTTTAAACATGAACAGCACTGTGCCCTTATCGCTCATGTAGCAACAAAGGTTTTCATTTTAAGGCCAGAGCAAACGAAGTGAGGGTGCTGAAAAGGCATGCTCCAGATGTGCACCTGAGCATTCCCTTCGCACTGTCACATGTACACCGTGCTCTGCATAGGAATTGGTCCTGCCAGGTCCCGCAGAGCAATGGTCAATGTCCAGCATGCTAAGGAGTCCTGAACATTGTTGGAAGGTGGTTAAATGGTAGGTGCTGGGAAACTGTTTTTACATCATGTCCCAAACAAATGGAACGGGTGCTGTAGCCATTTACACAGCTTGAGGCTGATAAGTGGCCAGTTTTGGAGTGGACCCCCCCTCTGGAGCTACAGTTCAGTGACTGAGCACCTGCCTTGAATGCAGGAGACCACAAGTTCAGTCCCTGGCATCTCTAGTTAAAAAGTGTCAGGTAGCAGATCATGTGACAGATCTCTGTGTGAATCTCTAGAGCACTACTGCCAGTCAGAGTAAGTGATACTGGATTAGTTGGACCAATAGGTTGACCTGGTATAAGGAAGTTTCCTACGTTCTTGAGTGTTGTATGACACTCCTAATCAATATGGTCATAACTTTTTTAAGGTACCAAGATAACATCATGACTGAATCAAACTTTTGGGTGTAATCCTACATCATGGTTTCTTTAGCTTAGCTTTTCTCTGTCTGTTTGTCTGAACCCATTCTGGTGAATTAACTATGGCTTCTGTCCAACTAACAACTGTGATAAGAATCTGTGGTTTGTGTTAGGCATAATTAGTGGTTGCATCTGAACCGGTTATCCTAGCGTAATCTTTGCCTGTCCCAGACACCCAGACAGCTGCAGAAACGGGAGATGTGTAGTTAGGAAACAAAACTGCATGTCGCTAAACGCATCTCCACCTTCTGCCCACCTCCTAAATGTTAAGCCATCAGTTTCCAACCTGCCTTCCTTCAGAGCAGAAGAAAATAGTAACTGCATCATGGGGCATTTCATTAAATCACCTTTTTTTAAGGACATGAGATTGAGAACCAGTGTCGGATAGTGGTTAAAGTGATGGACTGGGATTCTGTTAACTGGGCTTCTGGTCCTCACTTGGCCATGGAGCTCATTGGACAACTTTGGGTCAGTCACAAACACTCAGTCTAACCTACCTCACAGGGTTGTTGTTCTGAGGATGAAATGGCATGGAGGAGCACTATATAAGCCACCCTGGGTTTCTGGTAGGAGGAAGAAAGGTGCAGTATAAATGTGGTGATGGTGATGATGATGATGGTTATTTTGGACAGGACCTTTTGTGTAGAGGCACCCAAACTATGATTTCTTTTCCTCCCAGGGTAGCTCATTCTCTAGCATAACTTTGCCCTTGACATAGCTTACAAAAACTCTCTTGAAAAGAAATAGCCAATGCAAACCTTTTCCCTTCCATGCGTAACTCCTTTTCACAACTCTTTTCCTGGGAAAGTCATTCTCATAGTTCATAAATACTTAATATCTTGCTGACCAAAAGAATGACCCTGGAGATTGCTGCCTTACAGGAATTGTGCTGGACCTTAGCTGTGAATATATTTAGACAGGACATGACAGCATTTGTTTGGAAGAGGGTAAAAAATAATGTACATACCATGTGCCCCTTTGTGTTCCCTTGGGAGGCAAACACACACCCTAATCCCTGAAATCCTGTTCAGGATTCCCAGGACCTGAAACACAGAGCTGGGTTGCTATGTCACAGCTGCATTAACATAAGCCCCCTCTTTTGCTGTTGTCAGGACCCACAGCTGATGCCCCGGGGCAAGGGCTATTTCATTGGCCGTCCAAAGAAGTGGGCATGAAGGAGTTCAGCCTCTTAGTTTGCTAGTGCCATAGGAAGATTGTGCTCTGTATAAAAATATTTTAAAAAGGAATTCATCTCTCACAATAAGTCTCTGGGATAGAATGATGCAGCACGCTCTCTTAGTTTGCACCTAGTCAGACACCAGAAAGGCTTCTGCAGGCCTCACTGTGAAATTCTTTCTCAGGTCAGTGGTATCATTGCTAGACAAACTGGCCAAAAGCACCTTGGCTTGTCTTCACATCAGCCTGTAACCAGCCAATGCACAGTGCGCACTGTAAACACCGTGGAGAAAGAATTGCAGGAAAAGCAACTTAGCACAAACTGCTCCTTGTTCCTGAGAGTCTTCCAGCTGGAAATGTTCACACCGTATATCAGCATCACGTTAACCTTGTACAAGCAATGTGAGCAAAAAGAAGAGCTAGACTTTGATACCAGCCTGATAAGCGAGATCATGGCCAGGGGTGACCCTTCTGAGATCCCAGCAATCTGTATTGTTATGCTAGACATCACAGAAGAACTGTACAATGGGACTGCGTTGTGACCAGAAATTTGCTTGTGTCTTGAAGATTGATTCTCTGCCTTCCATGGCTTTGAGGACAGCAGCCCTAACCAGAAGCTCCCACCATCTCATGTTTTATCTTCAGACAAGGAAACTTAACCCAAATACCAACTCTGATAAGTAGTATCCTAGGCTATATTTCATTCACAATTTTCTTTTCCAAGTTCTTCTCCTCTGCAGCAGGAGTAAGGGGGAGAAGTAATTGGAAAAATGAATGCCATCCATATTCCTGGGCCCCATGTGAGATGGGGTTGAAATATGGTTGAAGAGCAAGCATTAGATCATGTTCCACCTTAATGAAGAGTGAGAGGAAGAGACTTCATTGAACGATGTACTGTTAAGTTCAAGAAGACAATGAAATCAAATAGGGTGCAGATGACGAAGAGTCTTGCTAAGGTCACCAAGAAAACTCGAGGGCGAGTAGGTGAGGCTTTTTACAAGTCTGAGAGAAAGATTTAAAATTGTTTCATCCTGGTCTGACTGGATGTGTGCAGGACTCTAGTCAGACAACGGCCACAAGCAAGCGTGGTTCGGATGCTGCGTTCAAGAGGCGCAAGGAAGCACAGCAAGTGCAGCCAGTCGGCAAGGCTGCATTCCTACATGAGTTCAGCAGATAAACCCCTTGACATAAGTAATCTGTATTTCTGTATTCCTCTTCCCCCTCCCATGCACAAACACCCCTTCCAAAACTATCACACTCACAGTGAGAGCAAGGAGATGGGGCAACTGAGCACTCAGATACAAGTCTGAAAGATTTACTAGAAAGCCTGCTGGTTGAGAGGATTCTACACTGCACTCAGATATAAATTTGCAAGATTTATTAGGTTTGCCTGTTGGGTGAAACAGTGCTCCAAGGTGCTCAGAAATAATTTTGCAAGATTTACTAGGCATACCTACTGGATGCAACAACATGGTATGCACTCAGAGAACATTTTGCAAGGTTTGGTAGGTGAACATATTAGATGAAAAAGCTGTGCTTGGAAATAATTTTGTAAGATTTATTAGGTGTGTCTAGTAGATGAACTAAAAATACTTTTGCAAGACCTGTTAGGTATGAGAACAAGATATAGTGCAATCCCCTTTATTCTCTGCACTCAGTATATGTATTAAAAAGGAAAAAGGTTGGGGCATCATTAACAAGAGAAAATGTACCCCAAAGACAGGATAAAGGGAAACCTCAAAGTTATGGGAATATAACCAACTTATTCCTGCTGCTACAGTAAAGGAACAACTCTGTTGCAACTTAACTGTCTTAGTTCAGTCTTTAAAACAGAAGTATTTAGAGCTAGAAAAGAGCAGCTCCCTATGTTTATTGGCTAGTTTCCAAGTTTCAGGCCAGTGCATGTGGATTGCATCAGTTTAGTCACTGGCCATTCGTGTTGATGCTGCCAATCCCCCACTACAGGTTGTTTGCTAAAGCGGCAACTTTCTGCTGCATTCTTAGTGATGTGTGCATTGATCATTTTACCAAATATTCTGTCAGCCATTCCTCACAGCCAATACGTTTTTCTTCCTGATACTTATTCTTTAATTCTTATCCCTGTGATTTCACTTCACCAGGGCACCCAGCACGGAACATTACAGACCCCAAGCAAAACTCATTCAGAATCCCAAGCCTTCAAGGGAAAACGAGCTACCACCTTATCTTGAGAGGCTACACGGAGGGAGGAATTGGACCGGCAAGGAGCTTGTATGTGGTCACCAAAGAGAACGGTGAGTGGCCATGCGCCACCGGGACTGGAGGCTGCTGTGACCTGGTGGCACTTGTGGGAGGGTGGCGTGGTGCACAGTAAGATGTTTCCGCACATGCCACGGGAGCTCTTGGAACGCGAAGGTTGCGGTGGCTTGCTTGCTCTGCATAAGTAGAGTACTGCGGGAGTTCCTATGCAAAAGGGGAAAGGGTCCTTCCCCAAGGACCTTACAGTTCACTACTGACAGTGAGGGAGGCAACAGGGGTTGATGGGAGAGAGTGAAGGAGGAAGCACAGCTGCACTTGGGTGGTGAATATTAAGGAGCGTTAAGCTGAAAGCCTTACAGGAGTGGCTTTTGAGGATCAGTTTAAGGGAGGATGAAGAGGTATAAAAGATGCCTCAGTTTCTGGGGTCTTTGACATGATGCTTGTGGGTACCAGTGTGCCCACAGACACCTCTCTTGGTACCATCAAGCTACTTACCCCTCCTGATTTCCATTTTATTTCTTAAGATATCTTTAATCTGGGAGTCTGGCAAGCCTCAAAATGATCTTTATTAAGGTTGTGGACAACAGTTTGTGTACTGGAGCTCAGACTGCTCTGTCTTGTGCTTAGTTTCATGGGTGACTCTCCTCCCCGCCCCCTTTGTCTCACTGGTTTACCTTCTGGCTTATGACAAAAAGCTGTCTTCATCCAGGCAGTTATTTATGAATGGGTAACACCGCCCAGCCATGGAGCCATTTTGTGAGATTATCTACAACACTCTCACAATATTCCAGAAGTTCCCATCAAGCCAAATACATGGGGGCACCCTGATTTAGATTGAAGTTGTTAGAAATGGCTGTCACTCAAGAATCGGTCATAAAATGCTAATGGACAATGCTTAAAATAATGTCATCATTCAGAGCTTTCTCAGTCTATAGTTAGCAGGAAGGAAATCCGTGACTTCGTATCAATCTCTTCCTATTTCAAGAATAATATAATAGGTAATAAGCCATTTCCTGGAAAGTTGGCTCACTATTACAAGCCACTGTTACGGAGCCTTCGTAACAGCTAATATCGGTTGCTTGCAATATTGCTATCTTACACGTTGTTGTCCATTTTTGCAGCTGTGGGCTTAATCATTGCCATAATCATCCCAGTGGCGATAGTTGTTGCTCTGGCTGCAGTGACCAGTTTCCTTTGCTACCAGAAGAGAGAATGGTAACTATTCCCCTTCCCTTTATTTTCTTGCCTATACTAGAGACAGAAAAGCATGTCCTTCCTTAGTAGGAACTTGTCCTGTTTTTGGCCTTGGATGATGCTGTTTGTTACACTCATGGCACTGTGTAAAACTGAAAGTGGGAAGAGAAATTAAAGTAATGCTTTAGAAGCAGGTGGACCCTGGTACACGTTGCGGGGAGATCACTAGGCAAAAACAGTGCTCCTCATGTTCAGCACAGACCCAGTGTGGACTCAGCTCAGGAGGTGCATTCTTGTACATACGCGGGAGAAATACCTTTGCTTCACACTGCAATGTGAACTTAGCTACTTTTGCAACAAGATACAAACTGAAACAAAATTATCCTTTGAAATGTGCTTTTCCTGAGATGTCACAAAGTTTTCCAGTCCATAAATGTATGCATAATGCATAAATGAAGGGAAAGTCCCCTCATATATGTATAAATGATTAAAATAATTTTCCAAAATGAATTCTGTTAGAAGTGTGGCTTGCAAAAATGTGTGCTTATCAGGAAAGTTGTCCATCAAAATGCAAGTGTTAAGAGAAGTGCACACAAAAAGCATACTTAAAACAAATGCTTAAAGTTCAGGATGTACACTGAACTTAATACAGAAAAAATATCTGGAGTTATTCTTCCTTGCAATGCTAGACCCCTTGCAATAGTGTGCAATCCAAGGGTTGCATCCTGTTGCATTAACTGGCATTGAAAGGTATTTTAGCACACAACTCATGGAATCATGCAGTTCCTCTGGCATACCACTTGGCATGTTTATGCACCCAGACCTGTCTTTCATTTCTATGTTTTCTCATACTCTGCTTACTGTATTCGTTGTACCAGAAAGGACTGCACACAGTTTTGATTGGCCTTGGTAGCCCACCAGAAGTTGGCAGTCACCAGCTATTTTGCCTCTCTCTCTCTGAACCTGGTCTGTGACTTTGCATGGAATTTCAAAGGTGTTTTGAGCATCTCCGAAGCCCAGTGAAATTGTGGGGAAGCCTCCTCTAGTTCTGAGGGTTGCATCCCTTCAGTGCCAGGCTATGGAATCTGTTGCTTTCTGCGGCCCAAGCACGAAGTCTGGCCATTTTGTGCCACTTTGTCCGAGTCTGCGGTGGGCAGAAATTGTAGCAGAGCTGGCGCCAAGCCTCAAAAAAGCTCAAAAGTTGCAAAATGGCTTCAGAGTTGCTCAGGTCTTCCTTATCAACTTTGAAAATGGTGAGTAGGGCCAACAAAAGCTCAAACCCTCATTTAAGAACAGCAAGCCAAACTGTCTGCCTCCCAAAACTTATTGAACTAGCTTATTTCTTGAAGTTCATTGTCATCAACTTTTGGAATTCAGCCCCCACCAACAATGGCTGAAAAAATGGCCAAAATTATTCCTTTAGGTTAAATATAAATAGAATGCTTCATTTTTAAAAAAAGAAGGTGCTTGATGCCATGGCAGGAAAACCAAACAAAACATCATTGTAATTACAATGCACAGAATAGTATAGAACAACTTGGTAAGAATTAACTTCAATGCTCTTTTTTTCAAAGGATTAAAGAGACTTTCTATCCTGATATTCCAAACCCTGAGAACTGTAAAGCTTTGGAGTTTGAAAAAGATTTGGAGGTAACTGTTGGCATTTTGTTAGCTCATTTCTAGGTGTTTGGAAAATGCTAATAGTAGGAGCAGAAACTGAAGAAACTTTGTCTGTTTCTAGTGTTGTTTCTAGTGTTGATGTGTTAAATCTGCTTCTGTACTGGATTTATCATGAGATTGTTCCTAAGCATGATGAGCTGGAAAAGATGGTTTCAGCTCTTGAGGGGAAGGAGGTGAGAACTGAGGGACATCTAAATGAAACAAAGTACAATGGTGAGACCTAGAAGAGCCATAGCTCAGTGATAGACCAGCTCTTCATGCGGAAGGTCCAAGCTTCAACCTCCGTACCACCTGGTGGAGGAGGAGAAACCTCTGCCAGAAACCTGGAGAGGAACAGGCAGGCAAATGCACTAGGGGTGCCAGGGAGTTTCCTGTGGAAACCATCACTGGAGACTTGGATATCTGATTTCACAGTGGTTGCGTGAGTTATTGTCCCTTGGCCCTGAAGTGCCCTGGGCCAGTGCCAGCCATTATCTTTGTTCTCAAAACTTATCCTCCCCATCCTGTGTTCTCTGTTTCCTCTACTGTTATGTTCTGCTTAAATTTTGAATACTTGGAAGTCAAGGAGCCATTCTAGCTGTGTGCAGTTGCTGGAAGACACACACCTAACACGTACCACTGTGTCATTAGACTAATTATCTTTTATTTTACAACTGCTCTTTGACTCCAAATGTTCTTTCCTAGGGCATTTTGAAAACAAGGCTTAATTTAAAAATTGGGGGAAATATGTGTAGTTTTCCTATTTATATGAACTGGTTAAATTTGAACTTCTCTAATCGATATATGAATTAAAATACAGTTATGCTTCAATATTCACACTTTTCTGAAGTTTCTTGTACAGTCCTCTGAGTCAACAAATACATATAAAAACAATATGTTAGGGGAAAGTGTGCCTAAAATGCATGTATTGTTGAGTGGTGGGGAGTAGAGAGGAAGCAGGTGAAACAGTATGATGTTAAGGAAAACTGCTTACAAGTATGCCTAGCAGGTGAATGTGCATATTAAAAATGGGTTTATCAAGGGAAACTATATGCAGAAAACATGTACATCCGGAAAAATGTACACAGAAATGCATTAAATGTGCATATGTTTTTAAAAAGCTGAACATTGATATGGAAATAATACAGAATGGTCTTGAGATGGAAAAAAAATGAGAAGGTGAGATTGGCAACCGTAGTTGTGCTCATATTTGTGATGCTGTGCTTCCTCAAAGCATTGAGTAAGCAGCTTATACTTGGGAAGGTAGAGCGAGTGATCTTCTCTCTACCATATACCTTTCTTTTAAGTGCCCAGCTCAGCTCTAAAAGCAAGTAAGCAAGCAAGTTTTCAGAACAACCTAGCTTGATTTTTGAGGAGACAGACCTTGCTCTCTCTATGTTTGAAAGAATATTCTTGAGATTCATGGATGAAAGAGCTCCTCCCACCCCAAGCCTTAAAACATGGTGAAATTTGCACTGTTCAGTGTTCACCAGGATCACTTGTCCCCAAGGCTGAGACTACACCCTTAGGACAACACCCTTAGTCAGGTTTTTGCAGGAATAATATTTGGAAAAGGTATCTGGATTTGGAATGTTCTTCCAAACCCTGAAAGGCAGCATAAAAGATTTCTATGTGAGGAAAAATTATAAGAAGGAACATTGTTAACTACTCTTTTCTGATTGTAGGGGAACCCTAATTGTAAAACCTTGGAGATGAATCCATGCACCCCCAATAACATTGAAGTGGTTGAAAAAGAGTCTCCCTGCCTGAAGATTGAGGATACCGCCATTACATCACCAGCGGTGGAGGAGCATCCTGAAGATGGCTTTGACTCCGAAACAGAGAGCCACATTGTCGTCTCCTATTGCCCACCCATCATTGAAGAGGAGATCTCACATCCACCAGGAGATGAATCTGCAGGATCTTCCCAGGTTATTTACATTGACATCCAGTCCATGTATCCAGCTCAAGTTAAACCAAAGGAAGAGTTAGAAGTTGACTGTGTGGCTGCAGCAGGTTACAAACCACAGATGCAGCTGCCTGTTACTAGTTTGAGAAAAACCGAGGAAGCCTCATCCATAGAAGAGGACTTAGACAAGGCTGCAGGCTACCGACCTCAAGTGAACAGGCCTTCTTGGATTACAGGTTGTCCAGATTCTCCAGGATCCATGGAAAGCAACAATGAAAATGCATCCTTTGGGAGCCCTTGCTCGATTAATTCTCGGCAGTTTCTGATCCCACCCAAAGAGGATGAAGACTCTCCTAAAGCCATTAACTCAGGGTGGTCCTTCACGAATTTATTTCACACCAAACCAAACGATTAAAGCTGAGATGCTAGCAGTTGCTCCAAAAGCTGCTGTTTCCTAGATCCTGTTTCAACCCCCTTGGAGATGCTGTAAACCAGGGATTTATAATTTCATTTCAGTGAAATTGAATGTTAACCTTGCTTATGTTGTAGTGGAAGTGGCACTAATTATATTCATGGATGGCAGAGATGCTAATTCCTAGCACCTCAGTTAAGGATAGGTGTTTGGGGTAGCCCTTTTTGAAGCCAAAGAACAGCAAGAGGTCTGTGTCTGCTTTTCATAGTCCATTCCTCCCCTCCCTGCTGCCTGCTCTCAGTCGCGCATAAGAACTGTCTTTATGACTACTTCCTATTTTAAATCTAAGACTGGGGATGCTGGAGGGGAGGGTTATTGTTATAAGCTTAGCTTTTTGCCTCAGACATAACCTGCAGGTTGTTTAGAGGTCTAGATGCACATAGGTGTGTCTAGGGTTGGGTCCTTGTTGGATAATCAAAAATGCATTTTTTTTTTGACACAAGTGTTTAAGATTTGGGGGAACCAAATGCTACAGTACTTCCACTGATACAGCACTTAGTCCCCAAAACCGCTCAAGAGAGCCCCTCGTTCCTGAAGGCAGTTCATTCCTGCAGCATTGAAACAGTTTGAACAGAAGAACTCCAGCTTGGACAGCTTACCCACCACAGTCGCTCCCATGGCTATCGGTGGCATTCATTTTTCAGGCTTGGATATTCGTTTCTGTACCTGCTGTATACGTAAATATGCAATAGTTTTGACTCAGGGGAGCAAAAACAAGTATAACACTGATTTTAAAATCGTAGTCAGGAATGAATGTTTTACCTTGCAGGTGTTTTTTAAAGCACTCTTTGCCACATTTTTTTTAGACATTGAAGTGACTGCTGTGCCTCTGACCTCAAGCAGTCATGCAAGGCGAGATGCTCTCTTCCTGGCACGCTGCTGCTGTATGGAGGGATTTGCTTGCTTGCTTGTTTGTTGTTCCAAGGATCATTCAGTCACGTGATCCTAAACCTGTAGTCCGGAGTGATACAGGCATTAGGACGGATTCAGGTGAGCACAAGGCCTTAGGTGCATATGTCCCAGGAAACCTCTCCATCCCATCAGTGCCTGTTTCCGGGTGAACTCTACCAATGAGAATACCTAGTAACAGTCTTCCAAAGATCTGTGCAAGCACTATTGTAAAAACCAACAGGACACATCTGAACAATGTCCATCTCTGTTCTCCATGGAAAACCAATCTCGATGGGCAGTGGCCAGCTATGGCCACTTTTCATGTGTAATCACCATAATTGGAGTTGGCAGCACCACCGGAATACAAATACTTTCAAGAATTACAAGCGAGAGTGAATCTTGATTCTATACATGCATATACTTTGAACCATTTGCATTGAAGTCTTCTTTAAAACTGCCACCAAACATTTCAAAGAAAGACCCTTCAGATGAGCTACAGTCTTGAAACAAAGCCAAATCAGAACTCAGCATTTACAGTATATTTCCTTCTACTGGAAGCTTCTGATTAATTACACACTACTTAAGAAAATTGGGTTTTTTGATTGATGTACATTTGACAGGTGGAGTTATTTCAGGTTTCCTCACTGGCAAATGGCCATTCAGCCTTCGTAGCAAATTCTTTAGAAATCAAGTTAAGGACCGCTGCACTAAGCCCACTTCTGCTCTGGGTGACTGAAAACTGCACGCTAGCTGAGCTGTGTTGGAGGCTTTCTTATAGAAGTGGGATAGCTCCGTGTTTTTCCAGCTGCTTTCTTTGATTTTTAATAATCTTAGCTATGTTTGGATCATCAGTTTAAGATGCATGGTGACTATTTTTTGGGGTTGGTTTAGGCTGTAAATCTAGCCCGAACCTCAGCAAAGCAGACAAGGAACCAGAAGGGTCACATTTTCAGAGTGCCTTGAATGTGGGGAGACTCTTCCCTATATTACTAGAGGCAATGTTCCATCCTGGGAAACTCCCCAGTCTGATTTCCAGTATTGGTCAGAACCCTTGGGGTTTTTAAAGCTTATTTTCTGGCCCAGTTGTAGCCTGTTATTTTCAAGGACTGTAGCTGAGTTCATGCTACAGTACATTGGCTAATGGTGGCATCCAACATTCCTTGCAATCTGAAAGTTGTTGTTGGTGCTTTAATAAACACCCCTTATTAATGCCCATTATTTCCTTAATCTATGTTAATACAGCTTAGGCTGATCCCCCAATGCTATTTACACAACAAAACACTTGCAAAAGATTGCACAATTAATGCCACATTTGGATTGGTCCTGGCAGGTTCGACCCTGTAATCAACAAAAATGGGGGCTTTATGAAGGACATGAAAGTGGTCTATCTCCCAGCACTACCCCAGTTCAACCCAGTCCTTGACCAACTGTTCAGTCAAAGCCAATGTAGTGCAGGACTGAGCTTACTGCAAATCAGATTAAGATGCATGGGGTGGGTTAAAGTGGCCCTCGTTTTCCATACCAATTTTTCAAATTCTTTTTGAGGTGCTATTTAACTATGGAAAACTGCATCCATAAAAATTCTTTAGTCTGAGCTTGTGCTTCATATGAGGCCTTAACTGCCTTGCCTTCTACTCTTAAAATTTAAGGGTGGTTTTTTAGTTTCTAGAAGAATTTGTTGGCTAGCAAACACACCCACATTGGAATACTTGTCTTTTCCAGAGCACTTCTGAAAAGCATATTTCTATACAATCTGCTTCATCTGCCCAGGGGTAGGAGCAATTGTTTTCTGAAAATCCTTTTGAGAACACTTAAAACTTTATACAAAATGTAAATCGATCAATTTTAGAAATGCTTTTGTCATTTGTATGTTTTTTTGAGCCATGTGTCTTATATGAGTTGTCTTTTTAAATTTTGTTTAAGAATTTATTTTCAGTGTCGTCATGCACAAATTATATCTTTGTTACTTTGTGCTGACTAATGGGAAGGGAAGGAACTGTGAATCCAGTTGTTGAAATAGCATTTTTGAAGTCTTTAGGATGTACATTTTTAGTAACTTTCCTATATATACCTCAGATGTAGTAAGCTATAACTTTAAAAACAAAGTAATGTGTGTCACTCCCACCGATTGCTTTCTTCCCTTTTGCATTAAGATCTTGGATTCATTTTGCTGTGAACAGTGATTCTGTTCAGTGGAGACTATGCAAGGACAAAGGTGCTGGTAGATTCTGCCACCCAACACTTGCAAATTGGCTGGGCTACCCTTCCTGTTATAAGCAGGAGTGGCTACACCTCTGTGCATTATACATCGGGCTGAATGTCTGTTACTGTCTTTTGGTGTGTATATCAAGTCTTTCAGGATTCAGAAGCATGTTTCTGGTGCCTGATTGTAAGATTGATGGAGGCTTCAGCCCTTACTGGTTTCTGCCTGCCAAGAAAGTAGAGCAGAAGCAGTGCAGGTTACTCCGTTTACATGGCAGATACCTAGGTGTTCACTAGTTGAGAGGTAGCTCCTGGAAAATGGCTTTTCTGACTGCCTTTTCCCAGGATGCTTCCTGTACTCCAAGATGATCACTCAAGTGCTAAATGAATGGTATGGAAGCTGCCATAGATTTTTTGCAATTCCTATCTTAGAACTGGGTTGGACAGCTTGTGGCCCAAAACATCTGGAGGACCACACTCCCATCATCTTTAACCAGCATAGCCAGTGATGTAGGCTTGTGGGAGTTGTAAGTATGAAACATCTGGTGGAACACATGTTGTCTGCCCCTTGTTAGATTTTCTTTTATGGAAGGGGAAATGGATAAGTATGAGCTAGCTTCTATTGTTTCAGAAAAGACCTGCTGAAAAATGTGATTTCCCCAAAAGCAAACTGCTAGCCAGCATCCACTCAACTCAGTAGGGCTTATAATGTTGCACTTCAGCTTTAGTGTAAATATTCCTCTTCAGTGCTTCAAGTTGCTAAGGATCATGAGCTCTGTGGAACCAGCTTAGGGCCATGGATTTCAGTTTTGTTGTGTACCATGGGATCCCTGAACTTGTTCAGATCTTGCTTGTGCACCTGTGAATGAGCTGGTCATGGGCGTGGTAAGATATAGAGGTTTGCAAATGAACCCTTAAAAAGGGAATGATTTTTAGAGCACTTGCAACACTTTTCAAAAATCAATTCCTCAAGCTAAAAGAGCAGCTGTAGTGTTGGATAACCTTCCCAGAAGATCCATTGTTGGTCGTCCCTGGCACTGTGCAAGTGCAGTGGAGTGTTGCATTTAGGTTGCATTCACATGGGGTAATACCAAACAGGGATGAACTGAGCGCACTTAGCCATCAAAATATGGCACGGGATCTTCTTCAAGACTCTTGGGAGTTCTGCAGCAGATCCGTAAACAAACACTGGTGGGTTTGCTGATGGGTAGGGTGTTTGCCCACCACCAACCTGCACCAGTTTCAGTGGCACTACACTACTGTGAATGGATTATAATTGGATATTCGAAGCATAGTAGGGTAGGAAGACTGTTTAAAAATGTGTCTTGCCGCTTTTCCATGTGGCCTCCTTGAGGCCTCCATTGTGAATGTGAAATCTCCTGCAGTGAGATTAAGCAGAAACACTAAAAACGTAGAGCTGGGACTTTAGGTGGGAGCAGAAATGGGGTGGGGGGAGGGCTTTTTGAAGAGCACTGTAAGTAAGAAATGTTACTTGTATAATGTATACTGTTTGATATAGCTCAGTAAATTCTGATGTTTTTATTAAAAATGTAAATTGTATATTAAATATATATATAATGGATACAAAGTAAATCTCAATGCTTTTTGAAATACTAAATTAATATAATCCTCAGACTGGAAGACTCAAAAGTTCCCTATGCTTTTTAAATTTTAACTGCAAGCAATTTGACCTAACCTTGCCTTGCCTCCAGTGTGTGTTAATCGAGCTGCTGAATTTGGCAATTTGCTGCCAGATGGCTCAGGTATATTTTCCCTCCTAAGTAAACTTTTATCATGTATACAAACGAATGTACTCTTTATTCTTCTGTGTATTTCCGTCTTGAAGATGTCTGTCTGAAACTGTTATCTCACTTGTGACTTTGGAGGTTGGTAAATGTTTTGCTACATTGCACCTGGAGAAAGGGCCCGCATGCCCAATTATGAGTTGTAGAATCTCAAGCTGAATACTATCCGGCAAAACTAGCACCAAGAGTATGCATAACTCCCAGTCCTTCCCTGGCAAATAGGCATCCCAGTAACTTCTGGCAGTCATGGGGAGGGGAGGGTCCCTGTCTCCTTATAAACAGGTGATTGGTGCTTCCAGGTTTCTGTGCTGAACATCTTCTGTATGTGAGCAGAGAACGTATTTGGATTAGGACCAGAGTGTGTTGTAAACATCAACATGCAAAAACCAGCCATCAAGCAGCTATGTCTTCTCTGGCAAAAATACCCATATAGGCACCTAAAGGGAAGATAATAATGGAAAAATACAACAGAGGAGGAGGCGGAGGGGGATGGAGTAGCAAACTTTCTAAGTGATGTAGAACTAAAATACTAAATTTTGCATGAACATAAATCTATGTTGTCTGGTTATTTGTATGACCATGTGCTGCTTAGCCTTGTAATTCGCATGCATTCATTTTTTGCCAGGATATTGTCATGGAGTTTAATAAATGTATTTTCTTACACAGCCTACAGATGTTTGTATATACATTTCATTACAAGCACATTTCAGTGAGTGGAAGCTTCTCAATTCATGCTGGTCTCAGAGGAAGACTGATACCTAACCTTGGAAAGGTCAACAAATTTGTTGTAGCAATACCTTTCTATTGTAATAATATATCCTACTCTGAGTAACTTCTAACCGCTACTACCCCAAGCCTTCCTTTAACAGTTACCAAGTGTAGAGAATCCTTGGAAACAGTGTTTGAGACAAGCTCCAGAAATTTAGCATGCTGAAATAAGTTATCATATTTGTACCCTTTCTTAGATCCAGAACACCATGTTTAAGAATTCTGCTTCTAAGGTGAAATCTCAAAAGATTTTCCCAGTTTGACCCAGGCACATTTCATTCCATTTTCCTTCACTGGAGTTGATCAACTAGTTAATCGAATATGCAAACTCTGGTTGTGTTTCCCAATGGCAGCAAATCATGCAAACTGGATTCTTTGCATGGGTGAGGGGATCTTTAAAGTTGCACAAACGAGATCATGATTTTTTAAAATGGCAAACTTGTGCAAATATGCATGATTCCCTCCACTTCTTTTACAAATTACCATTCACCCAAATCTAAGGACCCAGAATTAAATATGCAAAAAATGTCTAGGATGTGGCCTGGGGATCAGATAGAGTCCACTGCTGCTTACCAGAACAGAAACATTTCAGAATTCCACTGGGTGTAGTCGTATTCCCAGTATTACAGAACCCTAAACACCACAGATGCAAGTTCACCTCAATGTTCGGGTTACAACCATTCTCAGAGGTAGGTAAGACAAAGCAACGCCCTTTTATGTGTTTTTTTCCTATATACCATTGATGGGGAAGGACTGTATTTGTACTCCAAATGCTGGAGTTTCTCAAAAAGGTGGGCTCTACACTGGCTAACTAGGAATGCTGGCAAAATTCTTAACATGTGACATTGTACTGCAGACAATCACGTCTGGCTGTCGATTACCTGCTTTTTCCTAACTTTCAAAACCCTCTCTTGGCTACTTCATCTGAAACCACGGTTCCCATTGCAATCCTGATAACTTACAACAGAGTACAATTCTGCCCATTTTCCAGTATTTCATTGATACTTCACTTTCCCTGCCCAAGTTGGGCCTTTTGTTTTGGTCTTTAAAACATACATCATACAAAACATAATAGTATAACACAATTTAACATCTTTTCAACATTTTCAAGCCAGCAAAGCTTCATTAAGTACAATTTCAGCTGTCTAAATTTACTCTCCCACCCCCATACACACAAAGACAGATTGTAAAACCAGTTACATTTCACAAATATTTCCACTGAAACGGCAGAATTAGCAAATACAAAAACTTTCTTGCCTTGCTACACTCTTCTCTCCTTTTGGGAAAGATGCACAGTATACTAATGTGTCACAATTGCCAAGCTTTTGCAAAATGTCTGCCAAACCTTTGCAAAGTTATCTATCCAATCAATGTAGCAGCTGATACTCTAGAAAAATATACAAGTATAAAATTAATGCTATAAAATGTGGTGGTTGGTTTCATTGCTTGTAATAAAAAAGTAGAGTTTTTAAATAGTTCTCTTCAGCAAACAGCATAACTGGAAGGAAGTTAACTTCTGTGGGTGTTTACTTTAGGATGGAAAGCAGCTGTAAATTACTTTTTTCTGAATAAATGCAACTTATTGAGTCTGGAATCAGATAATGGAATGCATGAATGCAGCTCTTTCAATTACCCCACTCCATTTGTTGCATGATACAGTCATTGCACCATTACAAGCTGTAAAGGTTAGGAGTGTCAATACTGGTCCTTAAGTCATCATTATTCTTTTTTTGTGAATCATAGCACCATCATTCAGCAACTCACGATATCGTTATTTGTATTTTTGTCAATTGGACTGACACAGAACCTTCTTTGTCGGTCAACAACATGGTCCTTCAGAGCCTCCACACCACTGCAAAATACCATCCCTTCCCACTAGCAGGTTTGTGTCTGGGCACAGGGCTAAAAATGAAGGGGCAGAACGCTGCTCACTGTGCAGCAAGAGCAAAAGCAAACCAAGAACAGGGCTATACAACCAGCACAGCACATAGTGCTTGAATTACACCACTACTGCTGGAAGGAGGGAGGGCCATTGTATCAATTCTCCCATATATACAAATCCCCTGCATGTAGAAAACCACCATCCTTCACCCCAGCATGCTACTCTTAGGGGATCATTCTAACCTGCAAAGCACCTCCTATCTAACCATGTGGTCGGCTGTTTGTCTCCACTGCTCTCCCCCCGTTAAGGTAGGTGCAATGAGCTGGAATAGAGGTTGATACAGGATGTGGATTCAATGCATGCATGGAAGCGCTAGTCTCCTTCAAAGCAGAGGGAGGTGATTTCAGCAGACTATGTTAGTCTACAGCCATGGTTGCTGGTAACGGCCACATCTGACTCTGGTAGGCCACAGTATTATTGAAAGAGATATACAGGGAACCAAAGAGTGCAACACTGGAAAATTAGACTTCTCCCTGCAATGAAACATAGTGGGTAGGGCTCTAGTCCAGGGGAGACAAGTAACCATCACTGGCGAGCCAGCACACCCTGTGGCCCACCCGTCGCTCATTATGCACTGCATGGATTTTCTGTTGTGGGCACAAGCGGCTTATCAGCTGTCCATGTATGAAGCTGGTACTGGCTGATAAACCTGGCAGCAATGTAAGTTGCATGCATGGGGCCAGAGAAGCAGCACCGGCCTTATGCAACAGCTTAATGCTCACGGTGGACTGAGCTCCAAGTACAAGCAGAGGTCCAGTGAGACGTTCCTGCCCCACAGAATTCAGAATGCCTGAGAGAACACAATGCCCAAAGGAAAGGAAAGTGAAAAGTGGTCTCCCTTTTTTATGCATTCCCTTCATTTTGGTTCTTGCTTCTAAGTCTCTTTTAGAAGGAGTCCTCAGGATGCAAGATCAGTTGTTGATGTCCATGAAAGGAAGGTTCTTCCCTGTGAAGGGCCTCCATCCATCACTTTGTCCCACAGGTGTTAATGTTTTTCCCATCAGTTGCATCTTCAACCAGTGAAATATGATAATCTGTGGAAAGGGTGAAGTGCGAAATGCAGCCCACCAGTCCCCTCATATATTGTCTATTTGTGTGCAGTGCTATCTCCTTCATTCCACCTGCCAAAGAAAGAAACTTGCTCAGTCATTGGCCACATTGGGTGGGGAATGCATTTGTCACTTCTTGATCTTAAAGGGCACTCAGAGCAAATCACAACAGAACAGTTAAAAGACAAGATTCATCAAACAGGTTGAAGAGCAGATAAAACAGAAGGTCTATTGTATTGTTTGGGTACAAGGGAAAGTAACGGTTTCTTGCTCTTGGGTGTCCTCAGAATTCCTCTGTGAAGTTGCCATAATGAAATAGATCACAAATCTTTCCGTTTTCATAAATTGGTCCAGGAAAGGTATTTGTAATGGGCAGCATCCAGCATTGCCACAGCGCCTCTGCAGATGGTGTTGCATCAGCAGGACCTGCCGCTAATCCAACAGTGCTAATGTTTCCTAGACCAACTGTAGAAATGAGCTGAAAAGAATTGGGCAAAGAACCATCTTTTGCACACCCTGCTGACCTGTTCCATTGAATTTGAAAATAAAGATTTTTGGGACATTTTTGGTTGCTTTAGCTTCCCTTTTTGCAAATATTGAGTCCCAATGGCACACTAGGATCATTGGATATTATCAATATTTTTAATCTACCCTATCTGAGGAAACCAAAAGCAAGCTTGTGACACTGAGAGCTTTGGTCCAAAGTAAAACACTGCCATGCTTTTACTTTTCTAGCAGGACAGTATGACTATGCAATTTAGTCTAGTTCAGCCTTTCCAAATCTGGGAACTGTGAGATGTTTGGGACTACATAGCTCATCAGCCCCAGCCAGAATGGTCAGGAATGTCAGGAATTTCAAACATCTGAAGAGATTCAGATAGAGAAGGTTTGTCCTAGCCAATAGCTCACAAATACCATTAGTCACTCAGGGCTGATTCTCACATTGAGCCTTGGGTGATGAGACACAGATAAGACACCATCTTCTACATATGTGTGGGAATGGCCTCCACTGGAAAATGTGCTTCATTGTAATTGAGGGTAAAATTAAATGTCTGTTTGTTGTAGTTGACCTGCGAGGGCTAGCCAGGTCCTGAGCATCCCCATAATTCTGTAATATTCGGGATAAGATAACTTAGGACAAACTTACCAACATAGAGATCCCCATTGATGTTCAACTGTCTCATCATTCCCGGTGATTTGCCAGTTCTAGCGCCATAATCATCCACTGTTATCTTCCCAGATGGTCCATCCCTTAAATTGACAGCAATGTAAACACCCTTTCCATAAGTGATTTAGCACGAACAAATAGTATTAAAGTTTCCTGCTTCTACCTCAAATGCAAAGCCACAGTAGCACTCAGTCCTCTATCAGAGGTAGCTCGAGGAATCCCTAGATTCGTAGCTGGTTGTATGCCAAAAACAGCTCCAGTTCTTCCCAGACATACACTTTTCCCAAGGGCTACTGGCCTGCCCTAGTCAGTCACATGCTGTTTAAAGTGAGGGAGAGCTTGGGCAATTGGGAGAGTGAAGGTGGGGACAAACTGAAAGACTGGATAGGTATACTGAGAATTCTTTTGCTCTGATTTTAATCTGTGCTGAAAGCTAAATTAGAGGCCTCACACTGCTTAGCACTACTGTTGGGTGATAGTAACCACTTACTCTTTTTTCAAATTATTCTTCTCAATCTTTTTTCTCAAAAACTATTCTTCCTAAAGCCTTCTGTATAATCACTAATTCTGCAACCCACAATTGAAAGAAAGCCCTCTTTATTTATTGATAACACAGAGTTATCTGTTTTCATTAGCATTCAAGATGGCTTACAAAATATAGATAAAATTCAAAGATGATAAAATAAATTACAATAGCCTCAAAAAATGACTGAGAACATTAAGAAAGACCTGGGAGTGAAAAACAGAAAAAGAGCACAGAGAATAAAAATACTAGGAGCATCAGTTCCTGGGGCAATTCCACCCAATTTTCACCATCCCAAATGCCTTCTGTAACAAAACACTGGAAGGCAAGAGTGGAAGGAACTGAATTGTTACACCTCTACCTCTAAGTAAGATCAAGAACAACCAATTTCATGTAGATATTGAGAAACATGGGGGATAAAACTGAACCTCATGTTTTGTTGCTGTGAAGTCTTGTCAAGCTCTCCGACTTACGAATGAATGCTCTCCAAAATGCCCTGTCCTTGACAGCCTTGCTCAGCTCCTGTAAATGCAAGGCTGTGGCTTCCTTTCTGGAATTGATGCATCCCAACTTTGGTCTTCCTCGCCTTCCTCGCCCTTCAACTTTGCCCAGCATGGTTATCTTCTCCAGCAAGTCTTGCCAACTCATCATGTGCCCAAAGTACAACAGCTTCAGTTTTGCCATTTTACTTTCAGGGAAAGCCTTGGCTTAATTTTATCTAGAACCCACTCGTTCATCTTTCAGTCAGTCCAAAGTTACAGTCAGTTACAAGGGTTTCTTCCGTCACCGTGCTTCAAATGCATTTATTCATTCCAGCTGTCTTCACTATCCAGCTTTCACACCCACACAGGCAGATTGGGAATACAATAGTGTGGATTTTCTTGGCCTTGGTCCTCAGTGAAACCTCCTTACACGTCATGATTTTGTCAAGGAGTAGAACCACTATAGCAGAGTATCTTAAACCCTGAGCTCCGATAGCATTTGCAGAAAGTTACAGTGGCCCTGAGCTCTGACAGCATTTTCAAATGTTACAGTGGCTGATGGTATTGACAGTGCTGAGAGTCCAAGAGAATCAACAGGGTCACATACCCCTGTGACAAGACAGTTGACAATGCAAAACCAGGTCTAAATATTGCCTGACATGGAGCTAGATAATCAGCTTCATTCTAGAGTGCCTTGGTTAGCTGGGAAGCAGCCAGTCAACCAAGCTATAGCTGTTCACATCCTCCAGGTTCAACTGAGCTCTGACCTGTGCTCGGTCACACCCGGTCTCAGTCTTCCTGCACCCGCATGGTACACATCCTCCCCTCTTGCTTTCTCAAACTTCTCATCTTAACTTTGTTTGGGTAGAAAGGTCTAGTGAAGGCAAGGGGAGAAGTTCTGTACTTCTTTTCCTCATGCAAGCACCATACACATGGATGACAGACAACTTACCGAACTGCCTTAACTCTGTGCCACCGTCCATCATTAAAGGAGCCGTTCACCATTATGGAAGCAACGCCACTGCCCAGATTATAACTGAAATCAAAAGGAAAACATTCAGGAGGTTCTGCAGAGTTCACAGTCAGGCACCACTTCAGTCCTTATAATAATATATAATAATATATATTCTATAGAATATAGAATAATATTCTATATTATTATAGAATATTCTATATTAACTAATATGGAGTATTAGGTAATATATGAGCTGGCATAGAAGTTCTATTAGCAGAGGTAAAGACTGCAACCATACACTCCTGCCTGAATTCAGTGGGGCATCTTAGTCATATAGGTAGTATTTTCTGTAAGAGACTGGCAGGACACACAATAGCCCATTGCTGACCTCCTTGCTTTCAATCGCAGTTTCACCAGTAGCAATGTCATCATAAACCTGGGTTCCCAGCATTTGAAACTGAGATGAGACGAGGCAGCTGGGAGAGAGTATGACTCCGAAATCCATTAGTGATCTCTTAACTGCTGTGTTGAGTATGCCTGCACTAGTCCATTGTCAACTGATTGAACAAAATGAGTTTTAGTTACTAACAAAATCAAGATATAAAAACGTATTAATGAAGGGCTGAAACAAACATGGAGGAACCAAGAGAGAGTCTCCATTTTCAAACATAGAGGAAAAGTCTATCAGTAGCTATACAGATGAATGGAACATTCATATTTAGGACCAGTCTAGGTCTGATTATCAGATGGCAGGAACAGACAAGGGACTGCTGTGCCGACACCACTGATGCTTGGGCCACCATAACTGATTTCTAGTGCAACATCCATGGCATGAGCTGGCATCCTGAGCCTCTTTGGAACACCTGTTGCACCAGGTTATGCCATTACCTAGTGGTCATTCCCACTAGTGCTAGGGAAGGGTGAATAAGTGACGTTTGAAAATGCCAGGAGTCTCTGAATGTTGGGTTGCCACTTGCCTTGTGGCTGATTCCTGATTGCAGGAGAGGAATATATTGCAGCGTAAGTGAAGAGAGTGATGAAGGGGCAGGCCATGGAGTGGGTATGAAAGTAAGGATGGGGAGCCTTTCCTGGGAGAAGACAAAAAGAAGCTTGGTGTCGGGAAGTGAATGCTTTCAGCGGCAGAGTGCAGGATGTACTTGAGGGGAATAAAATGTGACAACCAAAAGAGAGTCAGCAATGGGGAGAAATCTCAAAAAACATGCTCTGAACTGTTCAAGGGAAAAAGCAAAGATGTGTGAGGTAGCTCAGCACATTTTGAACTCTTTTTCAAGGCCAGCTGCCCCTACCAGACTGTTAAGGGTTCAGAGTTGGTTTGAATGAGGTTTCTGGGGTCTCTTAAGCCCCAGTGTCTAGGACTGCAAAGAGATTCAGAAACTCCATCGACTCCACAGTCCTTGGCACTGTGATTTCTGTAAACGTGGCTATGAGGGGAGCTGTTGGATGGAGGGGGCTCACATTTCTCCCCCACCCTCATCACTAGGCAAGTAAGGGGATGAGTGTGAAGGAAGGAAGGAAGGAAGGAAGGAAGGAAGGAAGGAAGGAAGGAAAAGAAAGAAGATGCTCACTGCAGGAAATCCTGCAGTACCACAACTGTCCTAAAAATCAAATAAGAACCAGCAATCTGTAGGTGTGTTAATGCTATGAATACTCATATAAAACGCATCCTCACCATATTTGAAATAACTTCGTATTACAGAATCAACCAAATCTCCAGTAACAACCTTCTGAAACCCCCAGACCTCTCAGATGTGGGGTTCTCTCCCTCTCTCTCTCCCTCTCCCTCTCCCTCTCCCTCTCCCTCTCCCTCTCTCTCTCACACACACACACACACACACACACACACCTTTGCAGACAAGTAGCCTGAGAGGTTTCCTGTAGTCTTTTTACTATACTGTTGACTTTTGATTTTGCTGCACTGTTTCCTGATTTAATCAGACTAGCAATGGCAAGTGTTTCTCAAAAGACTGCAGTTACTTAAGCTGAAAAGGAAAGGAACAGCAGGCTCTTGAATAAACTCATTATCTCACTAGAAAGAGAGGGAGTGCCACCTGAAAGCTTCCTGACACTGAAGTAGTCTGAGAAAAATGCCCCAGAGGATGAAGTGCTAGTTTTACTGTGTTTCATTTCCTGAATTTACATTTCACTGTTGCCAGAAGGAGCATTTGCTTTTGAGAACTATCAGAAAATTCTGTTATATTATGAAGACAGTGAGGGGATTACATAAACTAAATCTAAACAAGGAAGATCTCATCTTCCTCCACTTCCCACGGGACGAAATGCATTTACATGGGACGCAACGCATTTCCTTCCTCTCAAGCTCATTTTTGATCCTGTAGGTTGAGAGGATTTACTTGAACAGGAAACACATTCTTATTTCAAGGCCAGTTGAATTTTATCACCAATGCGCACCCATTCATGTATTATTAGCCCCTAAGTTCAATCACTGGGTGACTCTGGGTCAGTCACTGATTCTCAGCCTAATCTACTCCCCCAGGATATTGGACAGATGGAACTGAGACAAAGAGGACTTGCAGGCTGCCTTGGGTTCCTTGCAAGAGGGGAAGGTGGGATAGAAATATAATGGGCTAAACAGCAGGAGCAGGAAGATTACAAGTATACCGAGGAAGAGATTAGGAGCAGGCCAAGGGCTTGGGCACCTTTAGTCTTCCTTGGCAACCCTCCTCCCTTTCATCTCAATGCAAGTGAGAAGTGACCTACGAAACCAGAAAAGCCAGCTTTTTTTTCAACCCTCTTTGACCTTTTTAAACAAACCTACTTTAAACAAACTACACCCACAAAGAGAGCTTTTCCATGAATGTGCTGCCCAATCCAGTTAAGTGAAATGTAAGAGTCGCATGTACAAGCACAGCAGATGAAGTGAAGTCTCATGTAACTCAGAGAGCGCCTTGTATACATCCAAAGCCCCCTGATGCAGCAGACTGCCGAATAAGAGGATGCAAGTAACTCACCTGAAGACCAAGGCACCATCTTGAAGACCTAGAGAGATGAAGTCGCTGTTGGGCCTCATGGGACTGTCTCCCCTCCACAGCAAGAGACCATCCATCACAGTCGTCTTAAACCTCATGAATACATTCGTTCTTGATCCTGACACTCTGTTGGTGGAAAAGAAATACTCTTGGTATGTGCACAGTAACATTTGGATGGAGTGAACATCTCTCTGAAATCATTCCTGTCTCCCCAAATATACTAGGTCTAATTCAGTAGGGTATCTGTCTGCTACAATTCTAACTGGATCTTCCCTACCCAAAGATCTGGATTTAGCCACCAGGTTTCTGACACCATGAAGCATCACTTCATTGAAAAGTCCCAAACAACTAGGTTTTTTAAAATGTGGGGCTTGGTTGGGAGAAACGATGTGGTAGCTTTTTTCCCATTGCTGTCTTTGTACATATCTAATTAGAAATACTACGAGTAAGACCTTGCTCACATGCACATTCAAAATGGCACCTCCAGAAATGTGGCAAGAGAGGGAGAGCCAATATCATTGGTTCTGTCCATTGATAAAAGGGTTCCAAGGTATCTCTGCATGGACTGGGGGCTGTCTTCTCCCCCAAAGTCTATTCAGCAGGGTCTCCAACCATCTGTGTAACATTTTAAGGGGGCTGGAAGGTCTAATATGGGTAGAAGAACATGAGGAAATCCAGGGCAGGGCAGATGAGTCTATTTCCAATCCATGGCAGTTTCATTTGTGTTTATAAGTAAGTTCATTGGGTCATGTACCCACAATAATCTATGAATTTTAAGCAAATAATAATTTGCATAAAATGGTGCCTACATGCATTTTTCTCATAAACATACATACTTAGATATATTTTCTTTCAAATGACTCATGTCTCAGTGCCTTTTATCTTAAAATACAGGTTTCAATTCCTTACGTGAGTCAAGAACAACTGCATCATGAATTAGGAAAAGGACAAAATTAAAAGGCGAATTGTGTTCCAATGTGCACTTCAGTTTGCAAAAATCAGGTCAGATCATGTCCTTTTAATTGGAATTCACTAAAAAGTGAATTCCTCAGGTATGTGTCCATGATTCTTATGCCTTTAAAATGGGGATCAGAGGTCATGCAAGCTATCTGGGTATAACGTTACTTGTCTACTTGGAAAGCATGTGCTTTCCACCCATGCCTATGGATGACAGTGAATGAACTGGACCTAAATAACTCAGGTGCAGCCCTGTGCATAGCTTGCTGCAAGTTGTAGGGCTTTTTCTGTCTAAGCATGAATAGGATTATATCTTTGTTCTGTAAATCCACCAGTTATTTTTAGTGGTGGAAAGAAGCGCTGAAGATGAAGCATGTTAATCTGCATGTCTTAAACAGTAAGATTTCATATTTGAAAAGCTTCTAAGTTAGAATGGGTATTGAGGCTTTTCAGGAGAAAAAAGGGCTGCATTGGATGATCTTCTGTTACTTTAAATTCTTAAATTCCTGATTCCTGAACGATTTTCCGGAACAAAATAGGGGTTCTGGCATATTCACCTAACAGAAAAATTACATATGAATTACAGATGATGGAAAGCATTGTGTAGTTCATTGCTTCATGGGCTGGAGGGTGGTGATGTTATGTCCTATATCCATTTGCACATTATATTTGCTATGTGTAATTAGGACTACAAATTATGAGTTATTTTTGTTTTCAAAGGCAACAGTTCAGCAGCATTGAGTTTGGCCTGAAAAATCCCAATACTTAGGGCACAAATCCAATGGGCTTCTGAACCTGGAAGCTTTCAGGCATTCAGTGCCATGTGGGAGGAAGGGAGAAGGCAATCTCTGCCTTCCCGGTCCTTCTGTTCTGCTCCGCCTCTTCCTGGGGCACTTCAAGGGTGAGGGAAAGATACTGCCAAGGACACAGCATACAATGCGCCCCAATTCCTGCAGTCGCCTTTCCTCGTTGCCCACCAGAAGACCCCCCCCTTTAACTCCACTGAGGTTGCTTTACTGACCCCAAATAGGCAACCAACTCTCCAAGGCTGCATCTCTGTTTCTGAACTCAAATCTGAAAATCTGAAGTATCCTATGACCCTTCAGACAATGTCTAGGGGGCACAGGTTTGCATCTTCCCTACTTTAGGATCTCTGGGCAGAAGGCAATGTTGCCCAGGTGCCAGTGGGACGCACCCCCAGAAGGGGGCTCTGCTGACTTATCCTGTTCTGGGAGCAACCATTTCACCTGGGTATTTTTGCATCGCTCTAGGAAGAGCTGTTCCCTTTTGTGCCAGCAATAGGTCTCACTGCTGCAACACAAACAACTGAAGTGTAGCGGCAACGTCATAAACTGCCCTCTGCCAATGACTCTATTATTGAATATATTCATATACCATCCTGATTTATATAAGAAACCGAATGCAACTAAAATGATCTTCATTTCCCTTTCCATGTTGTTTTCGCAACAACCCTGTGAGGTAGGTCATGCTGAGAGTCAGTAACTGACCCAAAGTTACCTAGCTCCAGCTGAAGGCAGACTAGAACCTGGATCTTTCAAGTCCCACTTTCAAGGCTCATTCCAACTCTACCAGCCTGGCTCTCAGTACTGTGACGAGATGGCAATTGGTATGTACACCTGTACTAACATTTTCAGATAAGAATGGCGGTTGTACAGTGCAGCCTAGACAGACCTGGGGCTGTTCTGGTAAGGCAAGTCTTCTGTTTGTACTTCAAGATCCGCCTGCATGGAATGTTCTCTTCAAGAACTGCTCCTCATGCACACCACAGAGTTTCCCCACACAGGGCTACTTGGATCCTGCCACTTCCAGAAATGTTCAGGGTTTGAGTCTATTGATTTACCTTTTAAGTATGTCTGGATTATCATATGTGAGGTAGCTGCGTCCAATGAATTGTGGGATTTCAATGGCTTCCATAACAGCTAGGAAAAGGAAAACCTGGTATTAATACATCAGAGGGTATGGAAGAGCAGGCTGCATTGATGAAAAAGCTCTTTCAACAGAGTCAGAAGAAAGAACAATGTTCTTAGACAAAAAGCTCCTGTTATATTACCCAGTGTGCCCTCCTGCTATGGTGGGAAGAGAATTCTGCAGCTAGGAGTAAGTGGCGCTGTTCATGCAGGCCAACACTTTCACCACTAGGATCCTACCAAATACAGAACATCAGGAACTGCAGGCTCCTGTCTTGTAGCTCTTTTCTTCTGCCCCCAATAAAGGAGGAAAGCATCATGTGAGCAAGGAAGACCCCTGATTATTTTTATTCCATCCCTCCTTAAGACGGGAAGAAGATACGTTATTACAAGAGAGAGAACTTCTCATGAACCAATAAACATGGGGTCTTCACCAGTTCTTTCTAAAGTGACAGTACAGCGAAAAACTGCATGCACCTTAAGGACTCTTTTGAAAGCACTACAGCTAGTAGTTTAGGGATAAGGAATTATATGGAAAAGTCAATGGAATTTTGTTCCCATGCATATGCATTTGGGACCAGGAGAAAAACCCAAGCAAATGGCTCTTGGGAAAGCAGGCAGGAGCTGACTGCAGTGCCAGGCAATGTTATTTCTTTAACGGCAAATCTCCCCTCTTCTATTTCTCATGTATTGTCTGCAGTGGATAGAGCAAAGCAAACTTGGCCCAGCAGGGAACTAACAGTAAACCCTGTGGTTCAGGACATGCAAAAGCAATTGCACTGCCATCAGCAATGGTCAGATTTTACCATTTCTTTCAGGCTCAGACACTAGCCCAGGAGTGGGCAACCTATGGCTCTCTAGATGTTTTGTTCTACTATTCTCATCAGCACGGTCAAGAGTGATGGAGGACTGGAATTTTAGGCCAAGATACCATGAGAGCCACAATCCCTGCCTTCCTCAACAGTCTTGCTCAGTTCCCCAAACCACCTACATCAGCTGAACACAACTCTTTCCAGGAAAAGGCAACCCCCTTCCTTCTCCCCAACCCTGTGAATCCCCTGCACATTCTTGGTACATCCACTGGTGGGGGCAGAGGGGAGAAGTCCAACTTGCTGCTTTAAGTGGACCTTCCTGCAGTCACCACAGCTGCAGATCTTCACAAACAGCAACATTTCTCACTAACCTTTAAGCACTGTACAGAACATTACAAGGAAGCGAGTTTCTCTTCAAAAAGGTCATGTCTCCATATCAAAATCCCACCTTTCCACCAGCAGGAAGCCTGCCAAACCTAGTTCTATCAACAACAAGATTTGAGAATACAGCCTCTTCCCCTGAAGTGAAACTAATTTCTCTTTATACCTCCTTCAGTCTTCTAGGGCTGACTGCCATCCTGAGGATGAACTATCTGCTTTTTTCTCTGCTTTTAACTGAGCAGCTGCACAATTTATCCTGGGTATACTTACTACTGGCACCGTAAAAACTGAGCAACGAAGAAGGAGAACCAAAAAGGAAAGCCAAGTCTAATGGTTCTATTCTTCCTTTTCAGATTTGCCCTATGTCCTCTTCATCTCTATGACCAAACCACATGTGACATGGGAAGAGTTGCTTGCAGGTCTCCTGAACTGCTGTCAGAATGAGTAGAAAATACTGATCTGAACAGATATCTAGTCTTATTGACCTGGTATAAGGCAACTGCTGGTGCTTCCCTCCAAGGCAATAGCAGCTTCAGGGGATGACTTAGATCAGGAAATTGTACAGGGAAAAACATCCTCCACCACTGCTCTGATCAAATGTAGTGCATTAGGCCCTTTTTAATGTAAAAGACAACAGAACAGCAGGAGGCCCATAAAGAATCTTCTGCATCATGCACAGTTTGGCTTTCAGTGTAATTCTCAAGTTATCCAGTTTGACTTGGGTCTCCTGCTGCTGCTGCTGCTGCTGCTGCTCCTCCTGGATTCCCACTTTGCAGAGAATGTTGGCATTTCCTGAATGGCTACAGAGTAAAAAGCGAGGGTGGAAAGGCACAGTAACAAAATATGAAAATACCTGGTAGGCAATTGGCTGTTTCATCTGCAATGAAATTAGGGAAAACGTCCAGTGTGGCTGAAGCAGGAACTTCCCAAATCTACACCATGTCACAATGCAATGCAATCCACGACACAGGCTACGGGTGCATCGCTGTTCGCAGGCTTCAAGAGAAGGCCCGGGTTACAGAGGAAACCGCAAGAGGGGAGGGGAGGGCACTTTTGTGTCCCAAAGCAAAGGAGAAAATATTCTCAGGAGAGAATCCTTCCAGCGCTTCCTCTGTAGGCTTTCTGAGAATTTTTTTTAAAAAAGAGGATTGGAGGGATTCCTTGCAACACATGTGGAGAAAAATAAGCCGCCCAGGAGGAAAGTCCTCTCTGAAATGCTGTGGGCAAAATAAGAGTTTCTTCAGGCACTTGAGAATATTGTCTCTTCTGTTCTGGTTGAGGGCACTTTCTACACCAAGGGTTATAATTTGGGCTAAGTAAGTTCTCAGGCAAGAGGCATAAATGAGCTTGCTTCCCCTGGAACACTGCAGCCACAAAAGAGCGACAAGTTAGGCACATTTACACCAATTTAACTCAGTGGCTTGAAGCAAGCCCACTTCTGTGACAGACCTGCCATTTACAGGCTAAGGAAAGCATACAAAGGATTCCTTGCATGTTGCCTCCTCTTCCGCCACTGGTAGGAGCAGGGCTTATGGATGGAGGGGGCTTGGAAAGCCAATGGGGCAAGGCCCCATCTTGGGCCATCTCACCTAATCTATGAGTTGGATTAGGCCCACAGGTGAGAAGTTCTCAACCCCTGCCAGATACCACTGAATCCAATAGAGCTTATCGACAAGAAACATTAAGAGCTGAGTGGCTCCACCCCACGTATCAATGCCACAATTCAATATAGCACAACATGGGATGTTCTTACTGCAGTTGGGTTTATCTCATAGTAACACAGAAAAGTCTGCAATTTTTCAGGAAATTTTCCAGATGTAGACTCAAGAACAAAAGGGAGGAAATAGCATGGACCTATTTAGTTCGCAGGATAAGAATTTTTCACTCTCTTTGGAGACAAATTGACACACAATTTCAAGAGCTCCTCCCGCACCACCTTTTCCAGCTCTCCCTAAAATTTATTTTGATTATCAGCTGTCCAAATACATCTAGAAAAACACCTAGTTTCTACAGTGCTGATTAGGCCAAGGACCCATATATACTTATGGTAACCTGGAGTTGATTCTTTCTGGTCACAAGCAGCAAAGGCAAGTGGCTATCGCTAACTGTAATCCTAATAATAATGCAGCATTACATTGGTCTATTATCTATAGGTGCCCACATGAAGCAGTTTAAATCATGCAGCTAACTTTCTGAAGCAAGGCAAACACAGAGACACTCAAAATAACAGAACATGTTTCACAGCTGTTACTTACTGTTCAAGCAGTAATTCCCACATTCTTCAGAGTGTCAGCATAAAGCAGAAAAATGTTCAGATTTTACTTTTCAGCAGCAAAAGAATCCCATTTTGAAACTAGTGTCCAAGTTCAAGCATGCAAGAATCAAGTCTACTTGCTTTCAAAGTGACTGAAAGTGTTTGGAACAAAAACAGGATCCAGTCTGCAGAAGCTACTGCTTACTTCTGCTGCAGGCTTGCAGCCTTCCAGCACTCATGTGGGATGCCATCTGTGAGAACCAGAATTTCTGGCACTGCTGCAATTTGCCCAGCCAAGGCAGCCTGAAATGGGGCTGCCGGGACTGTGCCGATCATTCATGTGAGCCCTGTTGGACCTGAAGGCCAGCCAAGGCTGCTGGGCATGCCCAAGGCACACGTGGAAATAGGTGGGTGGATTACCATTTTTCTGAACTGGGCTGTGTTTTATCTAAACCGCAATTTCAACATGACTAACTTTAATTAATCCAAGCCAAAAGAATTGTACCAAGGTTAAAGTTGGCTTTGCCTTCATGAATAAATTATTTTCCATTGGTACACTAGGGCAAGGGAAGGCAACTTGGTGCCACCCTCCAATCATTTTGACTACAATTCCCATAACACCTGACCAATGGCAGTGCTGAGCCCAATGGGACTTATAGTTCAAAAGATCTCAAGAATACCAGGTTCCTTACTCCTAGATTAGGATAACATTACCTGCATGTATTTTTTGTATTGTTATATTTAATGGTAATTTATTATGTACTATTGTATTTCAATGTATTTTATCATGTTGTAAGCCGCCCCGAGGTTTCGGCAAGGGGCGGCATAGAAATGTTATAATAATAATAATAATAATAAAAAAAAAACATTTCCTGTGCACATCTTAGGGAAATTTATCAGATACAACAACAAATGTCTACAACCACATCCTCTGTCAACTCTGCAATTAGGAATACACAGCTGCTCTTTGTAGTTCATACATTTATTGCAGGAGAAATTTTGCCACTGTGTGAAACCACTCTGAAATCAACAGTCTTGTATGTCCTGGATACATATATAGGAGGAGGATGCCACCTAGTGGAGTAAATCCATATCCAGTTTATGTTTTAGAACTACAACTGACTTAAGAAAGCCACTGGTTCCAAAGAAAAAAATATCAGTTCTTCACTCTTCTGAGTACAGAGGAACAAAACCAACTTTATTTATGTAAAGAAATCTTTGGTGGTCTCTGATGTGTGACTGAGGAAGGATTTATTCTTGCTGTCAAATTACAAGAAAGCCAAAGCATAGCAAAGGATTAGAGGTCGCACTGCAGCACTGGCATTTAACACAAATGAGGATAAAGTTACAAGGCCTATAAATCCCTTTGCTTAAGGGCATGAGTTAAGTCCAACTGAATAAAAAAAGACGAATCTTCTCTCTCATGTGCTGGCACAGAACTTTTTAAGTCTGTCACTGGAAGTTTTAAACTTCAAGCTACCAAGAATCCCCAGGCATTCTGATGCTGTCGATATGGAGCTATATACATTTAGGATGCAACCCTAAGCATGTTTATATAGAAAATAAGTTCTACTGGACCCAGTATTCCCCCAGCCAGCAAGGAGAATGCAGATCATTGTATGACTTCTTACTGTCTAAATATTCATAGAATTATGTCTATAACCATGGGAATGTTAATTATAATAATTCTCCATATTTGAAAGCACTGAAAGACAAGAGATCTGCGTCAGCTGCATGAGTCGTGTACATTGCAAGTCATAAAACTCCAGTTCTGATGGGAGAAGGACCCATAAAAGAAACGCAGCTGTCAGGATGGCATTCTAATCGCATAACCAAATACAAAAAGAACTGCAGGAATACAGCACCATGTATTGCCAAGATTCAGTGGTGCAAATTTGGTGAGGGAAGCTCTCTTGCTGCACAAAATAATACTTTTTCTTACCTTTCTGGCAGTGCTGCCCATCAAAGCCCAAAGGACAATCACATTCATAGCCATCTTTCTTGGGCAGGCAGGAGCCTCCGTTGGCACAGGGAGTATTCACACAGGGATGGACTGTGTTCTCTAGGTTGATTCCAGATGTGAAATCTTGCTTCAGGTCTATGGTCCGGTCATTCAGAACCATCTTTGTTAAAAGAAACAAGATGAAAGCATTCAAGTTTTTTTTATTATTTCAAGAGGCTGTTTATTATTTTATTTATTACTCAATCTCTTAACCTGGCAGTGGATATTGTAACTTTTTTCACTGACCAAAACCAGAAAAGGAAAAGAATGCTTAGAAAGCCTGGTGTAACATCTGTTTATTTTCATCAGCAAGTTTCCTGAGAACAGCTTTCCAGAGAATTCCTTTGTTTATCCTCAAGGGCACTGAGCAGAGGATACATAATGGAAGAGCACTTTTGAGCTGTATAACTCAAAGCTATTTAAGGACTTTTCCCTTTTTTAAAAAAGTTGAGTCAAATTCATGAACTTTGTGCCTGAACTTTAGAAAAACTTTTGTGGTTCTGCTGTAAGCCAAATCTGTGATGTAAAAGGAACTTCTTGATGGAGGTTCTTTTCATAGCAGAATTCCTCCTACGCCAAATTTATACTATAGAGTTTTGCTCCTAAGCAGGGACATGACTCAAGTGCTTTTCAATATTGCCCTCCAATGGGGCATCCTTGCAAACTATTCAAACTATTCAAACAAATTCACAGTATTTTCTAGATGTCCCTGCCCTGCAAAAAAGTAGGGATAGGAGAGAGTCTCACGTTTTCATACATTTTATTTTTTTAAAATCTTGAGCTCTTTCCATCTTTATTAAGAAGGCATTTACATATTTTGGTAATTTCTTATTAAAACAAACCAAAATAACATTTTCATACATCCGTACCAGCCAAATTCAATAGGTACATGGAGAGAACCATTTTGTACTTGCTGGCCATATAGCTATTCTATCAGAAATAGAGAAATGCTAATTCTAATTCAGCAGTGTAGATATCGTTGAATATGTAAGGATTTCGATCCAGACATTCAAGCTGTTAGTCAGTCAGTTTTGGTTTCTCCCACACTTGATTTTTTTTTGTCTCAAGTTCTTTCTGCTTGAATAATGAAGACATGTTTCAATTCTGGAAAATGTTTATCGCAAACAAATGGAAATGAGATTACTGTCCCTCTCTAGCTACATGCCTGCCCAGCACACTTGATGATCTGAAAGGCAAAACAGAAACAAAGAACCAGATCTCATGGCTTTCAAAAGATTCCAAATTTTTAAAAAAGGCTTCTGGCAATTCAAGGCCTTGAGTGCAGATTCCTCATGGCAGATGCCTGCAGGCCTCCAGACCTGGGGCCATATGCACATCCAGTGAAAGACATGAGCTGTGGCTACAGTGATCTCCGCATCATCATGCCGCATGACCTGCATTTTTTCTAGACGGCTATTTCTGACTGTCTAGATTCAATGCCGATAATGAGGGGAAGGAGCTGGGGCACCAACGAGAAACAGTGCGACTCTCTGGCCTCAGCCTCCTCACCCCGCAACACAACCCCTTTTCCCCTTCCTTTGAGAGTCAGCTGCAATCATGGGCAGGTGCGGGGAGGGCAGCTGGAGCAGTCCTTTCCATGGCAGCTGTGTGGTGGAGGCTCCTGTAGACTCCAAAAAATGCACTGGTTTCTCAGACAATGTCAGGAGACCATAGGCTTGGGCCATAGGAGGCTGCTTTTGTTCAGGGTTGAGATAAGCCCTTTTGGAATCTGTCCCGTTAACCTCTCCAGACTTCCACTTTTGCTCTTCCCAGCCCAGCCCAGCAAAGCAAGCCAAGCCAAGAGGAAGTGCATGCATGCTTGTGGACCTCCAGCTGCACAACCAGCAACCTTCCCCCTCAGAAGAGACTGCAGGATGCTGAGGCGGGGTGCTGTGAGCAAGCGTACCAGCTGCCATTCCTGGTGACCCATCTTCTTCTCCACTCGCGGCTGCTGGTGCGTGCAGCAGAGGTTCTGCAAGTGGGCGTACTAGGTGCCCTGCTCAATGACCAACCTTCGTATTTTATTTATTTATTTAAAACATTTCTATGCCACCCCCATTGCAACAAAGCCTCGGGGCGGCTCACAAAGAATACATAAAACATACATAAATAATAATAATATAACAATTAAAAAACATTTAAAAACCCCCGGTGCATTCTGGCCTAAAAGTTTTAAAATCCTAATTAATTCAATAATTTAACAATTAAGATAATTTTAAATAAAAAGGTCTTTGCCTGGCGCCAAAAAAACAAATAACGACGGTGTCAGGCGGACCTCTCTGGGGAGCGCAAGCGTTCCTTTAGATATCCAGGTGCCAAGCCGTTTAGGGCTTTATAGGTCATAACCAACACCTTATTTGCTGCTGGCAGTGCTGCCATTCCTAGCCACCAACCTGTTCTCCTACCTGCTGCTGCCAGCAGTGGTGTGCATGGGAAGAGGCTCCGATTGCACAGTGCATGGGGCTCAAGTCCTGGCAAGTGCCCTGGGAAATGAGACTCTGGCCCCAACAGAGAGGACTGGAGTCTGAGGAGCAGAGCCCAGGAAAACTGATGGATTCCCACCCACAAATATATTCCTTGCACATCCCTACGTCTGGTAGCTTAGCTTGTAAGGGTAAGCTCAGAATTTCATAGGAAGGAAGTCTCTCATTCTTCATTTGAAGGGATATTTAAAATCTAGCAGCATGTTGCAGCTCCCTTATGAAAAAGGGAGTTTTTAAAAAAGTGAAACAGAGCAAAACCTCTCAAGCTGATAAGCTCCACTTGATAACTCTATCAAGGATAACATTGTTAGATCATTGCTGCTGAAGTTCACCTTAGCAGCTCTTGCAGTAGAATGCTAAGCATGGCAGAACTCATGCTCTGGAACCCGCTACCAATTAATCTTAGACAGGCCCTTCACAGATCTGATGTTCAGATGTCTTCCTAAAATGTATCTTTCCACACAGGTTTTTTCTGAACTGTGCCCCAGCCTGTTATGCCTTGCAGCACACAGCAGAGTGTGCAGTTTTAATTATGCAATTTCATTGTTTTGTTGTAGAATTTGTTGTTGTTTTGGTGTCACTGTGTTCTCTGCTTTGATAACACTGTGAGAAATAGCATATAAATTTGAACAGTAAATGCATACATTTTATTGTTTGAATCCTATAAGAAAATATCAAGAAGGATCCTTAGTATGCAAGACTTTTGGCACCAAAAATAAGTATCTAAGGTGGTCTAAGCAGTAACACAGAATGGCTTGATGTACTGATTCAAAAACTAATATTGTCTTAGTCCTGCTTAGCACCTGGATCAAAGACATCTGAAGAAGCCCACCTCCTCAAATCCAGTTTTAAACTACTTTTGAGAAATGCAGACTGTGGGCTGACGCAGAGTCATGCTTGTACCCATTGAAACCAATAGGAATTACTCACAACCAAGTCCCATTAATTTCAATTAATCTACTCAATAAAACCAGTTATGCAGCCTGCTTAACAATAACAATAAAAACCAGCAGTCAGTAGGGACCAGACCCATTCTTCCTACAGAAGAGCCTTCGAGGAAAGTGGGAACAGAGATGGAGTTCAAAAAGAAAAGTAGCATCTGCAGCTGAATTATCAAGACCAGACACTGAGATAAGCCAAGTGTCATTGTGAATTCATCAGTTTCAAATACTGTGGGAGAGCTTAGTGAGTAGGCTACTGAGGAACAGGTGGACCAAGCATCATTGATCCCTGGACATGCTTTCAGGTAAATTGGGCAGACCAGCTGAGAAGTGTAAGATGCTGCAAGCAATTAACCCTTAAGCAGGAAGATACACTTGGAAACACTTGGGTACACATATTCATTTTGGTATCAACTTCTTATCATTAAGCCACTTTTCTCTAACAGCTAGTATTCCAACTTGGTTTGTTTCTTTTGTTAGTGACTTCTGCAGTACACCCCTCTTGTACTGCAAAGCCAACCAGGCTGGCTAGCATTAACATAATAAAGCCTCTTAGTTGGAGAGCTTTTGTCCTGGTCTGCTGGGCAGAAGCAGACAATACATCATTCTGAAACACACACCTTTTGAATGCTACCAGAGAAGGGCTTCAGGATGCCAGAGTTCTTCTTCACATCATCATAACTTGGTACACCGCCAATGAACATGTCAGGGTTGCACTTAATCTGGGTGAAAGCTCCCTGTCAACAACAACCAACAGAACGAGTAACAATAAAAAATGAATTAGAAAGTGCACAAGTAATAGCTAGGAAAGTGACTTAGTTTAGCTTTATGTTCTGTATACAAGAGTCTTCTCAAGTAGTATTTGATATCTTTGTCTATATCAAGGACAGTTAATGTCCCTGGTGAGAAAATGCTGAAATGGGACTATCAGGCACAGCAGGGTGGCTGAATTTCTTCCAACCAGAGGGCCAATTTTGGAGGAGTTACGGGGGGCTACATTCCAGTGGTAGATGGAGTGAAACGGGCAGAAGCAAAATACCAAAAATGCCAGCATACTTTGCTTAAAACTCTTTCTGCCCAGAACTATGCCTTAGGAGAGGCATTTCAGCCACTGAGAAGGAAGAAGAGGGCAGAGAAAGGAGAACCAGTTTTGGCCCTCAGAAATGAGGTTTTATAGTTTTACAGAAATGAGCTTTTTATATAGTGTAAAATCCATGTCTGGCTTTCCAACATTCATAAAATAAGCAATAACTCTGAATGATTTGCCAAGACTGGGCACATTCAGATGGTCCTCCACAGTTTGGTTTATGATAATTTTGTTCCTATTTGCTTATCATGTGAAAATGTACCATTTATAATCCTGAAAGTGGGCAGGAATGCAATTCTTGGGAAATGTGTGCAATTTCCAGAATTTATGTCTGCATTTTGATGTATGCAATTACATAAGTGCATACCTCCAAAAATGGTTCCTTGCTCAAGTGCAAAAACATACATTTCTCACCAAGATCTGCATGATCTTGGTTTAGCCTGTGCTAGAAACATGATCTTTCAATTAGGAAAAATGGGCATTTTTTCAAATTCATATTCTTTTAGAAACATAGAAACAGGGTGAGTCAGAAGAGGCCTCCTGGGCCATCTAGTCTGACTCCTGGCTCCAGCCAGCCCCACTCTTGACAAGCCTACCATCTGCATGTCCACCCTATCCTTGAGCACCCTCACCAAAGGGGCTTCAACCACCTTCCACAAAAACCCATTCCATACTCTAGGAGTCCTAACTGTCAAGCAGTACGTCCTGGCATCTAAAGTGAACCTTGGTTCCCTGAGCTCTGCCCCACTGGAACACAGCCTGCCCTTTTAAACTAGGGGAAATGCACAAAACAAATTTGAATTTGGGAGTGCAAATGAGGAGAATGATGAACTTCAAGGAAGAATTCAGAGAACCTCGAAGAGGTTGACTATGATACGTTCACTTATCCCAGTCTTAGTTTGTGGGCAAACTATGGGTTTAATAAAGCCATGAAATAATGCAGTAAGTCAAGTGCATGAGTGACGGAAGACAGGAACAGAGAAATGATGCACAGAACAATCCAGTAATGTCCTGGGATGAAGCAGTTCGCTTTCAGCAGCTCCATGAGGGGAGGAAGGAGTTGGTGTCACCGTGGTGTAGCAAGGCTTTTTAAAGCATCATTCCTACCTTTTTGCCAGGAGCTGAGTGGTACTTGACCTCTACTTCAGGCAGCAAAATATTTTGGGCCAATACAAATATAATTATACAGATATAATTTCCCTTTGTACCTTGGACACAATGCCTCTGTTAACCCAAACTGTCACTGACCTCATTTTGCTACAGCACAGTTGTATTTTGGTGTGTGTTGAACTGCTTTGAACAGAAAATGTTCAAAGCAAACAGGCAAAATGTGAATAAGTCCAACATTTAAAATCAAGCCACTGTGCATGTAGGGTGGTGGGGGCAGGAACACATATCACCTCTAGAAAGAGAAAATGGTTCGGTTTGCATTTAATGGTGAACCATCTTAATTTTGCTTTGTATGCATACCAATCTTCTGAATTTGCAATGCAACTTCCCGATAAAGAAATGCATTAAAATGCATATGCTGGGCAAAAGTGCACACAAAATGTACATATTCATAAAAAGAATTCTTAAGAAAGCATTATACTATAAAATGTTTGCAAAATGTGTAAATTAGTCAAGTTCACTTCAGATCCTAATTTATCACATGTATTAAAGGCATGATCCCCTGGGGTCTCAGGTGGCTTTGAAGAAAGTTTCTTGTCCAGGGAAATCTAAGTTTGGAGATCAGCATCTGAGAGGAGTTCATTGCAGAAGTTTGCACAGAGAAAAAAACCTAGATGAAGAAATATATCTGTTGAGAAACTTCTAACTGAGCTTTGTCTTCAGTTAGAGTTATGCTAGGGATGGGTTTGACAAAGATGCATCCACATTCACAAAGCGCTCCTAGTTACCTCTGCCATGCCTTCCACTGGCCTTTGCTGATCAACCTGTAATATACCATTTTTTGCTGTGCGAGACACTTTAAGCTCATGCCACTGGTTCAAACTGATGGGTTCTTCACTCCTGTTTAAACAAAGGAAACAAAATAAATATTTTTCAAGTCCAAAGATTTTCATATCTTGCAACATTTATCAGAAATAAAGAGTTACACTTTTGCATGACACAGAATCATAGAATAGTAGACTTGAAAGGGGCCACGAAAGCCATTGGATCCAACCCGCTGCTGTTGCAGGACACCACGTTACACCATCCCACTCAGATGGCTGTCCATGAACAATAAAAGGGTCATAACATGGTAGGGAACCTGCCAAAGAACAGGCAGAGGCCAATGAGTGCCCACACAGCCCTCCCTCCCATCTAGGAAAACCATCTCTCCCATGTAGAAGTTGAGAAATTTCAGGGGTAACCACCCCCAAATGTGCCATGTCCTCCCCATGGATTCCTTCCAGGAACATATACATGGCTGACTTTGGGGCACACACATACATCTTTTTATTCTCCCAGGCCTTTGGATCGAATTGTCATTGCTGCTTGTGATATTTGCTGTATTATGCTTAATGCTTGTGAGAGCAGCATGTGTGTTGGACCCACTGGTACCATCTCCAGGTGTTGAGGGTCCTTGGGTAAGCCACCTTCAATGGGTCTTCTCCCTCAATGTGTCTGCATTACCACCAGTGTCTTATAAGGTTGCCAGCTGCAACTCCTCCCCTATTCTTTCTCATCTCTACCGCCCGTTCCTCGCTTCAAGAAAACTGGCCATGGCACCTACAACTTCTCATCCTCGCCACCACCAGAGGCAGGAGATCAAGCTGGCTGCCATGGTGAAGAGGAGGAGCAACCCAGGGGGCTTATCAGTGGGCTCCTGTTGGGTGTGGGCTCTCAGCAGGTACCTGGCCATGCCCACCCCAACTGTGGCCCTCATGGCCATTGGGCAGCCAGCGGCCCTTACGAGAGGCATGCATAGCCAGGGGGGTTGCAGTGGGCCAGCACTGCACACGACCAACCAATGGCTTGCCAGGAGCAGTTGGGAGGCTGAAGGAATGGAAAGGCTCTGAAGATTCCCCATGGGGATCTGCTGGCATGGACTGAACGCACTACAGGTTTTACAGAATCTTATTATCATTAAATCATAGCAATGCTTCTCGGCACATTAAGGATTCTCTGGGGAAGCCCGATCACCATGCAATCCTCATTATGACAAGAGGTCTTGAGAAAGAACTACAATTTGCAATGGCGGTGCTGTGCATCCCACAGGAAGAACCTGAAAAGTACTGACACAGTCTGTATAAATTGTCACTAACTGGAAAAGCAGCCAACATATAATGGATAAATGTAAATTGAATTCCCACTAGACATGTTACATTTGGCAAAGACTTGCAGAAGCAGTTGAAATGTCATATTAGTTTTAACAATGCAGAAATTTAAATTTCAAAACACAAGTTGGATTTTTCTCCTTGTCACTGATGAGTTCTTAACATTTCTTCAAGTATAATATTGCTTCTGAAATCTTAGAAAAACTTTGTAGTAAACCAACTTCTGCTGTCCCTTTTTAATTATCTGTTAGTGTTTTCTATTCTTCCCCTCTGGCCTTTGTTTAATAATAATTAGGGTTTCATTACCTTAGATAAATCAATACATAATAGGGTAATAATAACCTCTGATCAATATGTAATAAAGAAAGCAGATTGTTCACTAACTCATAATAAACAATACCTATATTTTGTCTCCATTCTAGCATAGGTCTTAGTAATGGGAGACTTCTGGCTTACAACAATTAGTGCTTTCATTATCTAGACTACAGCCCAGGGAAAGGGGCCAGGATTTGTGGCAAAGGCTGAAAGCTCCAGCATCAGTGAGATGGTGTATCCAGTCAGGAGTTTTTTAAGGCACTATCACAGGTTTAGAACCTGAGTGCCCAAGTTGATTCAGAACCATGGATAGCACCTTCCTTGTTCTGACTGAAACCCAGAGTAGATGCACCATCCTGTCAATACTGGAGCCACTAGCCAGTGATGGTGAGTTTGGCACAGGAAGTCCCAGATCCAATCCTTTGAATTTCCCAGGTAACCAGGCACAAGGGGAAATGGGAACGATGTAATTTGGTGAACCCGGAGCGCTAGTGTCAGCCAGTGACAATACAAGATGTACCAACACACACACACACACAAACTGGCTCAAAGTACCCCATGTGCTTTGTGGCGAAGTTGGGACTAGAACCCAGATTTCATGAGTCCCTGTCCAGCAGTCTTGACTGCTACACTTCATTGGCTCTTTGGGTTACATATTTTACTCATTAGTAGGACCACTTTTCCAGAATTTGGAACAAGAATTTGTTTCAAGAATAGGCCTAAGGAGCTTGTTTATTTTGCTTATTTTATTACCATGCTGTTTCAGCTATTCTTTATGTCAGGGAATATGGTCTTAGCATTTACCTGATCACAGCAGTTCCTGAGCCACAGTCAAACCTGAATTCTACATAGCTGTTCACCATTCTAATAGACAGGAAGTCTTTGCTGCCTGTATCGTAGCTGTACAGAAGGACACCATCTTCTGAATCTGGGCGGAATATGATTTCAAATTCCATGAAGGAAAGGTAGTTCTGTGATTCCAAGGGCCAGGGGACAGTAGCAAAGGATTTCAAGGTCTCATTGAACTGAGGTATAATGAGGGCAAAAGCTGAAAGACAAAGAAGCATATTTTTTCAAGTGCTCAAGAAAACAAGACTGTTTCCATTTCTTTCTTTACAATATAAAGTTCAAATTCTACTACAAAATTAATACTAGAAGCTGTACCATTGTGAAATAAATGCATCCATTCTAAATGCTTCACAAGTAGATTAAACAATTTCCTTCAATTTGTATTTGCCTGTTAAGAAAAGGACAGGGTAACTACCAACCAATCCTCAGTGTTTGAACAACAAAACATTTTAACAGAAAACATAGCTGCAGAAACCCGCAGGCAAACTAGTCAACAGGAAGTTTACTATAAGGTCTACACTACCTCCTTCAACATGCAAATAGTGATGTTTAATAGTGTGACACTGAAATTTGCTTTAAGATCCACTAGTAATTTGCAACACTGCCGCACAGCATGAAAGAAATAAGGATTATCTAGCCTGTACTCAGATATCCCTGTTGACCCATCATAGCCAATATGGCTTCTGTCAGTATGGTCTATCTAACTATAGAGGGGACAAGACCCATTTCATTCCTAACTGGAAGGGAAAGTGCTATAATGGGTGTTCATGAACATCTCCTCAAATGAGGCAAAAGAAAAGTCTGTGTTATATGAAAACGCAGTGGAGAACCCATTGGGCTTGTTCCCATGTAATACGAAACTGTGGCTTACCACTGATATATTTATTCTTTGTTAATTTATTTACAAGAATTCACATTCATAAATATACATCTGTACATTTCAAACCGATATTCACAAATTATACATAGATTTTTAAAAGCTCAATACTTAGAATCATTGTGCCATGTCTGTATATCAAGATCTATATTCTTGATCTCACACTCCATCAGTGTGCAATCTACCTCACAATGCAGTGTAAGTTTATTATTTTATTATGTACTTTGTATGAATAATTTTTATTATTTATATATATGTGTGTATGTATTGTATTGTATTTTCAGAATGGTTTATTGTGAATGACTTCAAGTGTAATGTATGATAAAGCAGTATACGACTTGATTGATTGGTCAAGTCAGTACACAGCTGGTATGCAGCTGAAATCCAATTTGATGCTAATTAAAAAGCTTACAGACGCATCCTCTTTAACAGGGTAAGCAATTTGATGCTCTCCAGAAGTTCTGGGTTGGACCCACTGGCCTTATTGACTCCTTCCAACTCCACTATTCTGTGATATAGTCCATAATCCCTTACTGTTGGCCATGCTCGCCATGACTGAGGGGAGTTGTACTCCCAAACATCTGGAGGGGTCCAAGTTGCCCACCACTGCTTTGAAACATACCAAATGGTGCCATGTATTTGAAGACAACAGCAGTAAGTCATTCTCTCACCCTCCTCACAATGTCGACCTTTAAATCCCAGTGGACAAAGGCAGATGTACCAATCTGCTTTGCTTGCTGTGCAGGTGCCACCATTTATGCAGGAAGCCTCATCACAAATTCCACTGCTGCATTCACCTAAAAACAGAGCAACAGTAAGAACATCTATTTGTTATCCAACTTACCTGAGGGATGAGGTAATTAAGCCACTTGTTTTCGATTACCTACACAAACACATAAATGAAACTCTTTCTGGGCAACATGTAAATCTAAGCACTGGATTTAGTGACTGAGCTCCAGGCCACAAAGAGGTTTCACAAAATGGCAGCAAGAGCAACTAATCCTATCGATTTTCTAGAAGTGATCATTTGCCCGACTGGCTGCTGTCTTCCACTTTTCATTTGCTTGCTCCTGGTTCTCACAAACAGGCTGCTTAAATCCCCAAACATCACCAGACTGTTTACATTCAAGGACCATATTTTTGCTTAACCTCAATTATCTTAAGTGCTGTTTTGTTTCTTCTGCATTTGAGGGAAGCTATAGCAAGAGCTGTAGGTGTTAAGCAGAAGGGTCTAAGCTTATTAGCTGCTATTTTGTTTGTTGTTAACAGTTCCATCTGCACTGCAGGTAATCCTTACTGCCAACATACTGGCTTTTATAATCAACATCTCTATTATTGTGCCATCTTAACAGGAAGATGGCTGGAAGTAATGCTATGGAAACTGTCAAGGACTGACAGATTTGAATGCCTCAAAGATACTTTTGAAGAGCATTTAAATATTTCAACAAACATCATCTTGTAAAATGTGTTTAAAGTACTTCACTTTAAAAAACGGTACTAGTAATTTGCATAGTCTTCCCCCACAATATAGTAACCAAAAGCAGACACAACATCACAGATAAGTATTAAATCAAGAGAGATAGGAACAGAAGCAGTTTCTTTCATTGTAATAATAATGCCTCAGTGAGAAGTATTTAACACTTAAGAATTAAAATATACAAATGACATTTCCCTAAAGGCTGGAGAAGGTAAAATGCTGGATGAGGGCAAAAAGCTAACTTTGGGTATTTAGGAACTTTTCTTGTTTCTTAAAGTAATGTTAAATTAAATCCCATCTTCCCCTCAGATATCCCACTTTGTATACACATCAACCCTGTGGAGGTTCCACTAAGAGAGAGTAACTTGCCCAAGCCCACAGGGAGATTATGTGAACAGGAACTTTAACTCAAGTCTCACAGCTCAGCAATATTCATATCTACTAAAGTCTTGTTTCAAGTGTGATTAATATTCAGTCTGCTAGATACCGCCTAAACCATGGGTCCTCAAACTATGGCCCATGGGCTGGATCCGGCCTGCCATGCCCATTTATCCAGCCTGCCTCAGAGGTTTTGAACTCCCCGCGCCTGCCACTGTCTGCCTCACTGCGCGCACACGCACCGCCCACCTTGCCACGGGTGGCGAGGCGGCAGCTTGCTCACTCAGAGATCGTTTTGGACTCACGGGAGTTCTCCGAGTGAGCAAGCTGCCACCTCGCCCCGTGTGCACCCGCTGCTGCCACACCGGCCCGTGCCCGTGGGCACCCCTGCCTCACCAGCCTGCCACCACCGCCCTTCCACTGGCCCCCTGTTGAAAAAGTTTGAGGACCCCTGGCCTAAACAATTGCAGGAAAGGCCAGAGTTCCACCCCTGACCTCAAAAATGTATTGGATTGTGCTGTGAACTGCACACGTACAAAGGCTCTAGCTTTGCTTTGTTTTTTTTAAATTAGAGGCATCAGTTTTGAAGTGCCATGTTCCAAAAGCAAGGATAATCCAGCATAAAATGGCTCAGAGACCACATCAACCTGAATCCTGAGCTATATTTGAAGGGAGACATCCACACTCTGGTGTGGCTTGAAAACAGGTTTGCCAAACCCGCATTAGCTAGATTCAATCAGAGTAAATAGCATCACAAAAATGTTTTAGATACAGTAAAATACATTTATTAGTTAACACGGTGGACATTAACCAGGGACATTACTTCTTTAACAACTGCACTTAACATCATATTAATGGAGTACAGCACAAAACTAGTCTAGATCTTTCTTCCTCCCTCACCATTAGGCAGAATGTCTTAGAGGCAGCAAGCTTTGGGTGTTGTAAAAGGACAGCAAATTGTTTGTAATTTAAATTTGTTGCTGTACTTTTACTGTCAAGAACAGAGTTGCTTGTCTGATTTTCTGCCTCATGTAGTAAAATAGCTTTCCTCAGTTTGGGCACCAGGCATCTTCAGCTGGGATTTTATTTCTTCCCATGGGAGTCATTTCATCATATAACCACTGTGCCCTGGAAGCCATGTCTGGTCATGACTATACTTAGTGAAAATAACAAAACAGGTGACCTAATCATGGGTCTACCATACCAAGGGTAGGATGCTGGAGAAATACATTCTTTGTGAGTTCCATTAAGATCTGATCTGATCATACTGTTGTGCAGATGAGAACACTATCATCATTCAGATTTCTTCAAATGTTGTAATGCAGTTTTTGGCTCAAACAACATAGCACAAGGAAGATAAAATTGGCATTTTAAGACAAAATACACTTATAAATGCATACTTCAAAAGAAAATACATGTACAAAAGTGTATTGTGTTAGAATATACCTTCAAAATGCATATTTATAAACAATTGTGTGCATGTTTTAAAAATCACATTATTGCAGAAAAGGGGCAGAGCAGTTCTGTCTGTCTGTCTGTCTATCTTCCACCCTATTAGCCAAAATGGCTCCTATTAATCAGCACAAGCAAAACTGATGAAAGTCAGAAATAAATTATCTCTCCATTCCTAATTTTTTGTAGTTTCCTTAGATTTGTTATTATTTGCACTGCAGAAGGAAAAGAGGGAATTATGCAAATATATAAGCTGGATCTGAGATTTCCCAATTACCTTATGGATTGTTTGTGCATGTATACAACAACAACAAAGTTCATGCTCTTCCACAGCTGATTTCTGAAATCAATCTTGAACTTGAATCTGGTTCAAACTCCTCAGAGAGCAATTCTATTTACAGCTAAAGAAAATTTCCCCAGAGAAAATTTCATAATAATATTAGAGTTGAACTAGGATTTGTCACCCCTGGGAGTTGCTAGCAACTTTAAAGCCACACCATTGTTAAAGTCTCAAGCCAGATGTTTCCCTCTTAGGAGATACTGTCTATATTGCAACCTTTGAACAAGAGCTTCTTGTTGGGGTAAGAAGTTGAGTTTTGCACTTTCTCTCCCCCAAGATATGGAAAGGGCAAACATGTTCCAAGATATGGAAAGGGCAAACATGGAGCTGTTCCATTCCTTTAGCTGTTCCTAAAGAAATGGAACAGCTGTAAAGCACAGCTAGGACTCTAGTACTCTCTATTCACCCAGAAACTCCTCCTTTCTAAAGCATAAATTCAATTACAAATAAATAAAATATATAAAATACCCTGTTTGCAATGATAACTCATAGGAATACTGTATCATTCAACTCCCCAGCAGTGCCATCCACCCAGTCCAGGTAAATTTTAACAGCTCACAGCACAACCCAAGGGATGGTTACCCAGAACCCAAGTTCTGCCACATTCAATGGAGCTTACTCCCAAATACACAGAGTTAGAACTGCAGTCAAAGAGTGTCAACCTATTTACTAATAAAATCCAGAGTACCACACAACTACAGTCAATATAAGTGCTACTAGCATTAAATTATACAACATGAAATACAACCTTGATCATTTTAGCTGTGCTAAAATCATCATCATCATCATCATCATCATCCTGAAAAGGAAACATCAAGGGGACTAGATGGAGTTCTCAAGCTTCAGGAATAAAAGAACCTTAATCCAATCAAATGCATTCTGAGGCATATGCCATCAGCTGATCACCTCCTCTTTTCCCATCTGTTCACTCTGTCAACACGAGCAATTCTGATCTTCAAATTGGGACATTCAAGAGTTTTTGGATAATATAAAACATGAGCTGTACATCATCTCCTTTTGAATGTAATGAAGCCTGCAAAAATATTAATGGATTGTCTGTTCTTGAATTCTTAAAGGCAACCTGATTATTCTGCAAAGAAGGAAGTAATTCTGTTCCAAATGTGAAAAGGTAAACATGTTGCATTGAAAATGTGCATTTGCAAATCCTGTTTTTTCCCGTTTTTACTATCTTACCTTATGTTGAAGACTGACAGTAATTGCCCACTAGAGTGCTGGAGATGAGATGGACATCAAATAGGCATAGCTGCTCATTTTTCCACATAATGAAAGATGTGCGTCTCTAAAAATGCAAAGTGTGAATTAAAGAATACGCATTATGTACAGGCACTTGTCAGGGATTTTTGATCCACTATAGTCTCCTTTTGGAATACATTCAGTGATAAACTTGAATTTGTCTTTCAATGGCAGTGCGATATAAATGCTCCTGCTGTTTTCTGCCATCAAGTAATCTCCAATTTATGGCAATCCTATGAGCGAAAGTCCTCCAAAACGTCCTACCGATGACAGGTCTGCTCAGCTCTTGTAAAATCACAGCTGTGGCTTCCTTTATGAAGTTCATCCATCTCATATTTGGTCTTCATTTTCTTCTTCTGCCTTTGACTTTATCTTGCATGAGTGTTTTCTTCAGAGAGTTTGGCCTTCTCGGGATTTTCCCAAAGAATGACAGCCTCACTTCTAGGGAAAGTTCTGGCTTGATTTGATCTAGGACCCACTTGTTTGTCCATCAGTCAAGGGTATTCACAAAGCTCCCCTTCAGAAACATGTATCAAATGCATCAATTTTCTTCCTGTCAGCTTTCTTCACTGTCCAACTTTCACACCCATATATCCGGAATGGGTGATGCGGAATACAACACAGTGGATGATCTTGGCCTGGGTCCCAATGAAATGCCCCTACACTTACTAGTTCCTTCACTGCTGCCCTTCCAAGTCTCCATCTTCTTTTTGGCTACAGTGTCCATATGAATTGATGACTAATTCAAGGTAGGTAAAATCTTCCACAATTTCAGTTTCTTCATTGTTAATTGTATGGTTGTGTAATTCTTCCATAGTCATGATTTTTGTTTTCTAAATGTTCAGCTGCAGTCCTGCTTTTGCACTTTCTTCTTTCACTTGCATCAGGAACAATTT